CGCACCACTGGCTTGGTGCGAGGAGCAGGAACGGGCCGAACCGGGCTGACGACGCGCACCACTGGCTTGGTGCGGGGAGCAGGAACGGGCCGGACCGGGCTGACAACGCGCACCACTGGCTTGGTGCGGGGAGCAGGAACGGGCCGGACCGGGCTGACGACGCGCACCACAGGCTTGGTGCGAGGGACAGGAACGGGCCGGACCGGGCTGACGACGCGCACCACAGGCTTGGTGCGAGGTACAGGAACAGGCCGGACCGGGCTGACGACGCGCACCACAGGCTTGGTGCGAGGGACAGGAACAGGCCAGACCGGGCTGTGGAGACGGACTGGAGGTCTGGAGCGGAGAGCTGACACAACCCGTCCTGGCTGAATGCCTATCTCCACACCCTGTGAGTGAGGCATCAGCACAGGACATACAGGGCTGTGCACTCGTACTGGCGCTACAGCACGTGGCACTGGCGCAGGATATCCGGGACCGAGGAGGGGTACTGGAGGCCACGAGCGTTGAGCCGGCACACTCCGTCCTGGCTGCATGCCCACCTTAGCACGACACGTGCGTGGTGCTAGCACAGGACGTACAGGACTGTGCCGGAACACTCGCGGCACAGTACGTGGCTCCGCATAACCCGGAACCTGCCCAGTCTCACGCTGCCTAGTCTGAGTACGGGGAGTTGGCTCTGCTCTACCTCTAGGCTCCGCCAACCACCCTTCCAGCCCCCCAAACCTGGTGGCCTCCTCTCCTAGATCGCCGATGCGCCCTGCAGCTGCCTCCAGCAGCCCCGTCGTCCACGCCGTGTGCCCCCCCCAAAACATTACTTGGGGTTGCCTCTCGCGTGTCCGTCGTCGGCACGGTTGGCGCCGTTTCTCCTCTCCTGCCTGGGCCTTTACTTTTGCCCATGGCCCTCTGCCCGCGAATATGTCCTCCCAAGACCACCATTCGCCCACCTGGGACATTGCCAACTTCTCCTGTTTGGCACGCTGCTTGGTCCTCTGATGGTGGGATCTTCTGTCACGATCGTCGACAGATGAAGCGGACCAAGGCGCAGCGTGATAAGCGTACATTCTTTATTTAGTGTACACAACACGAACCAAAACAATAAACCAAACGATACGTGAAGTCCTAGGTTATACACAAAACCTTACGGAACAAGATCCCACAATGACTAGTGAAAACAGGCTGCCTAAGTATGGTTCCCAATCAGAGACAACGAGCTACAGCTGCCTCTGATTGGGAACCACCCTGGCCAACATAGATCTAACCGATCTAGAACGAAAACCATAGCAAACAAAACATAGAAAATCCACACCCTGGCTCAACAATTAAGAGTCCCCAGAGCCAGGGCGTGACAGCAGGGTCCTGGACAGATGGGTCATGGCCACTAGTTTGGACAGGTGCTGATCAGGGGCTGTGCTCTGTAGGTGTACTAGTACAAAGAAATCAAAAGATAAGTCGGAAGTTAATACACAACACCGCAATGTCCTATATGTGTGGGAGTAGTTGCATGTCGTACTTCATAGGGTGACGCAAGTTGACCGAGTTTATAAATACTGTGTTGAAAAGCATTAAAGTCTTTCAGGTTGAATAAACAAAACCACTGTTCCTAGACGTGATCCAACTACGGTGTCCGTGTCTCCTCACTTCATAACTTAACACTATATACTGAATTTACAGTGGACCGAGGTTACATATTCTCGCAATATGCCTGGCTCTTCTAATCATTCCTATAAGAAGTTGTGTAGAAATATACTCACAGCTGGTGAATGAGTCTACAGGTGTACATGAGGGAAAAAATGTGTACAGTGTCTGTATCCTACCTAGATCATGAGGTGGTGGTCCGGTCTCATGGCTTGATGCAGGTTTGGTCATGTTGGCTGAGGAAAACTAAAAATGGAAATACTATGATGAGTTATTAGTCGAAGAGTTAGAAACAATATCCACATCCCATATTCCTTTAGATTGTCAAAGAAAACCTTTGGATGTAAATACAGGTATGCTGGTGAATGGTGGTGGTCAAAAAGCTCAATTTTTGTCTCATCTGACCAGAGTACCTTCTTCCATATGTTTGGGGAGTCTCCCACATGCCTTTTGGCGAAGACCCAATGTGTTTTCTTTTTCTTTAAGCAATGGCTTTTTTCTGGCCACTCTTATGTAAAGCCCAGCTCTGTGGAGTGTACGGCTTAAAGTGGTCCTATGGACAGATACTCCAATCTCCGCTGTGGAGCTTTGCAGCTCCTTCAGGGTTATCTTTGGTCTCTTTATTGCCTCTCTGAGTGGTGTTGCAGACTATGGTGCCTTTCAGAACAGGTGTATATATACTGAAATCATGTGACAGATCACGTGACACTTAGATTGCACACAGGTGGACTTTATTTAACTAATTGGTTGCACCAGATCTTATTAAGGGGCTTCATAGCAAAGGGGGTGAATACATATGCACACACCACTTTTCCAAGTTATTTTTTTCATTTCACTACACCAATTTGGACTATTTTGTGTATGTCCATTACATGAAATCCAAATAAAAATCCATTTAAATTACAGGTTGTAATGCAACAAAATAGAAAAAACGCCAAGGGGGATGAACACTTTTGCAAGGCACTGTATGTTCATGTTCTGTTACTTTGCAGATTCTAGTAGGACTATTTCTAACCTGGGTTGAAATACTACTTGAAATCATTTAAAATACTTAATCTGTGTTTAATTGAGCATGACTGTTGCAATGGAACCAATATAAAAGTCCCAAAAGTGCAAACCTTGCCCACTTGGCCCTCCAGGCAGGCCAAAGTATTTGAAAGATTTAAAATAGTAGTTGAACCCAGGTCTGTTCCTTTCTCCCGTCCTATTATGACATATTTCTCGTACCCTCAAGGCATCTGTCTGTTGGCAGATATTTCGGTAGAACTCTTGGGTGTCCTTGCGGTGCCTGCCAGCTGGGATGCAAAATGCAGGTTCTGATCCTCCAGCTTGTCGTAGAGAGTTTTCACGTTGAATTCCTCCAGTTCAAACTTTCCAGTCAAGTATCCTTGGGTAGCATTTGTGGAGACAGTGGATAATAACAATAACTTGAAATGCCAACGCAAGACTACTGATCATGTCATTGATCTAGAGGGAAATAGCTTCACGAAATAGCTTCACTTGTACATTATCATGGCTTAGCTAGAGTTGGATTTGTGTATAAAATGGATATTCTATACCAAAATGGAAATGGCAGAGCAAAATACTCCTGAACCCATTACTCATGGTATTTCATTGTCTATGATATGTGGGTATAATCAAAAACGTAAACTATTAATCTAGTGGGGCAAATAATCTTGTACATGACTATATACAGTGGGGAGAACAAGTTTTTGATACACTGCCGATTTTGCAGGTTTTCCTACTTACAAAGCATGTAGAGGTCTGTCATTTTTATCATAGGTACACTTCAACTGTGAGAGACGGAATCTAAAACAAAAATCCAGAAAATCACATTGTATGATTTTTAAGTAATTAATTTGCATTTTATTGCATGACATAAGTATTAGATCACCTACCAACCAGTAAGAATTCCGGCTCTCATAGACCTGTTATTTTTTTTTAAAGAAGCCCTCCTGTTCTCCACTCATTACCTGTATTAACTACACCTGTTTGAACTCGTTACCTGTATAAAAGACACCTGTCCACACACTCAATCAAACAGACTCCAACCTCTCCACAATGGCCAAGACCAGAGAGCTGTGTAAGGACATCAGGGATAAAAATGTAGACTGCACAAGGCTGGGATGGGCTACAGGACAATAGGCAAGCAGCTTGGTGAGAAGGCAACAACTGTTGGCGCAATTATTAGAAAATGGAAGAAGTTCAAGATGACGGTCAATCACCCTCGGTCTGGGGCTCCATGCAAGATCTCACCTTGTGGGGCATCAATGATCATGAGGAAGGTGAGGGATCAGCCCAGAACTACACAGCAGGACCTGGTCAATGATCTGAAGAGAGCTGGGACCACAGTCTCAAAGAAAAGCATTAGTAACACACTACGCCGTCATGGATTAAAATCCTGCAGTGCACGCAAGGTCCCCCTGCTCAAGCCAGCGCATATCCAGGCCCGTCTGAAGTTTGCCAATGACCATCTGGATGATCCAGAGGAGGAATGGGAGAAGGTCATGTGGTCTGATGAGACAAAAATAGAGCTTTTTGGTCTAAACTCCACTCGCCGTGTTTGAAGGAAGAAGAAGGATGAGTACAACCCCAAGAACACCATTCCAACCGTGAAGCAGGGGAGGATGGATGGGAAGGATGGATGGATGGGGCCATGTATCGCGAGATCTTGGCCAACAACCTCCTTCCCTCAGTAAGAGCATTGAAGATGGGTTGTGGCTGGGTCTTCCAGCATGACAACGACCCAAAACACACAGCCAGGGCAACTAAGGAGTGGCTCCGTAAGAAGCATCTCAAGGTCCTGGAGTGGCCTAGCCAGTCTCCAGACCTGAACCCAATAGAAAATCTTTGGAGGGAGCTGAAAGTCCGTATTGCCCAGCGACAGCCCCGAAACCCGAAGGATCTGGAGAAGGTCTGTATGGAGGAGTGGGCCAAAATCCCTGCTGCAGTGTGTGCAAATCTGGTCAAGACCTACAGGAAATGTATGATCTCTGTAATTGCAAACAAAGGTTTCTGTACCAAATATTAAGTTCTGCTTTTCTGATGTATCAAATACTTATGTCATGCAATAAAATGCAAATTAATTACTTAAAAATCATACAATGTGATTTTCTGGATTTTTGTTTTAGATTCCGTCTCTCACAGTTGAAGTGTACCTATGATAAAAAAAATTACAGACCTCTACATGCTTTGTAAGTAGGAAAACCTGCAAAATCAGCAGTGTATCAAATACTTGTTCTCCCCACTGTATGTATCATGCATGGGTGGTTGTGAAATTGCGGTGTAGATGGGGATTAACCCATCATGACTATGAACCTATCATCATTAATGCAGTGGGTAATATAACTGAGTTAGTCACCTCCTCCATGGCAGACTGCAGGCTCCTCAGCCTCGGCCCCCTCTCCCACTCCCCTGCAGCCCAGCACCCCCTGGCCATTCAGGCTGAGACACAAACAAAAGATAGAAGTCAATCATTGTAGATAGTGGCTTTTCAGAAGGAGGTTTTCAGAGAGGAGTTTCACTTGCCAACAAGGTGTCCCTGGTCAGATGGATGGAGTTTACTTGATTTAGAAAAACAACACTCCCGTTGCATGATGACGCACCTGAAGACTTCTCAGCCATGCTCACTTTCAGAATTGAATGGGTCATGCAACAGGACTGCTGATTTTTAAGGGACATGCTTGTCACGAATTCCGCCGAGACTGCTCCTCCTCCTTGTTCGGGCAGGCTTCGGCGTTCGTCGTCCCCGGAGTACTAGCTGCTACCGCTTGATGTTCTCTATGTTTGTTTGGTTTTGTCTTGTTGGTGCACCTGTTTCGTCTTATGTATTGATTATGTCACCTATAAGTTTCCTTTGGTTTTGTTTGCAGTTGTGTGTTGTTGTCCGCCTGTCCGTTGGTGAATCTTTATTGTGCTCTAGTTGTTAGTGTTTTTACGCAATGTTTGCGTAATCGCTCGCCTCCTGTGTTTGAGGCCCGTTATTTTTGTTATTGTCTTTGTGACAATTAAAGTCGTTTCGACTAAGCTTCTGTGTCCTGCGCCTGACTCCAACATCGCATCCACATCAGCTTGTGACAGAACAACACACCATACTATGGAGTCAGCAGGAGCAGCGTCGGCGACCGAGTCGCTGGAGGCTCGGGTCAGCTGCCAGGACGCCAGGATCCAGCAACTCGGCTCCGCCATGCAGGAGGTGATGAACACCCTGCGCCGATGGGAAAGGGGAGGCGTGCCCACACCTCCTCCTACATTACCACCACCATCGGCCAGCCCCACCAGACCAGCTCCGGAATCCAGTGGGATTCGGCTCTCGCTCCCGAGGGCGTATGATGGCACCGCAGCCGGGTGTCAGGGGTTCCTCCTTCAGGTGGAACTATACCTGGCCACCATACACCCGGCGCCCTCGGGATACGAGAGCGTTTCCGCCCTCATCACCTGTCTCTCCGGCAAGGCGTTGGAGTGGGCCAATGCCGAATGGAGGGGAATAGATGCCGCCACCATCAGCTACGCAGAGTTCTCCCGCCGCTTCAGGGCTGTTTTCGATCACCCTCCTGAGGGTAAAGCGGCGGGGGAGCGTCTGTTCCACCTCCGACAGGGGAAGAGGAGCGCACAGGAGTTCGCCCTGGATTTCCGGACTCTAGCGGCGGATGCGGGGTGGAATGAGAGGGCCCTCATCGACCACTATCGGTGTAGCCTGCGTGAGGACGTTCGTCAAGAGCTGGCCTGCAGGGACACCAATCTGTCCTTCGACCAGCTGGTGGACATGTCCATCCGTCTGGATACCCTGCTGGCCACCCGCGGACGTCCCGAGTTGGGGCCGTCCATTCCATCCCCTAGCACCTCCGAGCCGAGCCCTATGGAGCTCAGGGGTGCTGGCGCTAGAGAGAGAAGGAGAGAGAACCCGAGGGGGGCCGTCCCCTGCACCAACTGTGGCCGTGGAGGACACACTGCGGCTAGGTGCTGGGGAGGGTCTCCAGGGAATCGGGGCAACAGGTCGCGCACTGGGGAGTCATTTCAGGTGAGTAGGCGCCCCACTCACCCAGAGCTCTCTGTTGTTCACTTGTGTATACCTGTGGTATTTCCTCAGGTTGCATCTCATTCCCAGCATAAGGCGCTAGTCGATTCAGACGCAGCTGGGAATTTTATTGATCGGAAATGTTGTACTAAGTTAGGGATTCCCCTCCTGCCCGTTGATGCACCCTTCCCTGTCCATGCCCTAGATAGCCGCCCGTTGGGATCAGGGTTGATTAGGGAGGTCACAGCACCACTAAAGATGAAGACGCAGGGGTGTCATGAGGAGATAATTCAGTTGTACCTGATTGACTCTCCTGCGTATCCCGTGGTGCTGGGGCTTCCTTGGTTAATCACCCATGATCCCACCATTTCGTGGCAACAGAGGGCTCTCAAGGAATGATCTGACCAGTGTGTTGGGCGATGTTTAGGTGTTTCTGTTGGGGCGACCACGGTGGAGAGTCCGAACCAAGTGCCCGCAATGCACATTCCCCCTGAGTATGAGGATTTGGCACTCGTGTTCAGCAAGACGAGGGCAACGCGATTGCCACCTCATGGACAGGGAGATTGTGCGATAAAACTCCAGACAGGTGCGGCACTCCCGCGGAGCCATGTGTATCCTCGGTCTCAAGAGGAGACGGCGGCTATGGATACATACATAGCTGAGTCCCTGAGACAAGGATACATACGGTCCTCCACTTCCCCTGCGTCCTCAAGTTTCTTTTTTGTGAAGAAGAAGGATGGAGGGTTGCGCCCGTGTATTGATTACCGTAGTCTCAATCAGATCACTGTTAAATACAGTTACCCTCTTCCTCTGATTGTGAGTATGACTGAATCATTGCGCGGAGCGCATTTCTTCACAAAACTGGATCTCAGGAGCGCCTATAACTTAGTGCGCATTAGGGAGGGAGATGAATGGAAGACGGCATTTAGTACCACCTCAGGTCATTATGAGTATCTTGTCATGCCATACGGGTTAATGAATGCTCCTTCAGTCTTCTAATCATTTGTGGACGAGATCTTCCGGGACCTGCATGGGCAGGGTGTGGTAGTGTACATTGACGACATCCTAGTGTACTCTTCTACACGAGCCGAGCATGTAGCCCTGGTGCGCCGAGTGTTGGGTAGGCTGTTGGAGCATGACTTGTATGTCAAGGCAGAGAAATGTCTGTTTTTCCAGGAGTTCATCTCCTTCTTGGGTCATCGGTTGTCCGCATCAGGGGTGAAGATGGAGATTGACCGTGTGTCAGCCGTGCATAACTGGCAAACCCCAACCACTGTTAAAGAGGTGCAGCAGTTTTTGGGTTTTGCCAATTACTACCGGAGGTTTATCCGGGGTTTTGGACAGGTAGCAGCTCCCATTACTTCCCTGCTGAAGGGGGGCCCGGTGCGTTTGCAGTGGTCGGCTGAAGCGGACAGGGCGTTTAGTAAACTGAAGGACCTGTTCACTTCGGCTCCGGTGCTGGCGCACCCGGACCCCGCTTTAGCGTTCCAGGTAGAGGTGGACGCGTCAGAGGCCGGTATTGGGGCAGTACTGTCGCAACGCTCCGGCACGCCTCCTAAGCTCCGTCCCTGCGCTTTTTATTCTAAAAAGCTCAGCCCGGCGGAACGTAATTATGACGTAGGGGACAGGGAGCTGTTAGCCGTGGTTCAAGCCCTAAAGGTGTGGAGGCATTGGCTTGAGGGGGCTCAACACCCTTTTCTCATTCTGACTGACCATCGTAACCTGGAGTACATCCGGGCAGCTAGGAGATTGAACCCTCGTCAGGCTAGGTGGAACATGTTTCTGACCCGGTTCGTTTTTAAGATCACTTACATCCCAGGGTCCCAGAACGATAAGGCAGATGCCCTGTCCCGGCGGTACGACACAGAGGAGAGGTCCATTGAGCCCACTCCCATACTGCCGGAGTCTTGTCTGGTGGCACCGGTGGTATGGGAGGTCGATGCGGAAATTGAGCGGGCGTTACGCACCGACCCTACTCCCCCAGAGTGTCCAGTGGGTCGGACGTACGTGCCGCTCGAGGTCCGTGATCGTCTCATTTATTGGGCTCATACGTCACCCTCCTCTGGACATCCAGGTATTGGCCGGACGGTGCACTGCCTTAGCACTAAGTACTGGTGGCCAACATTGGCTAGGGACGTGAGGGTTTATGTCTCCTCCTGCTCGGTGTGCGCTCAGTGTAAGGCGCCTAGACACCTGCCCAGGGGGAAGTTACAACCCCTGCACGTTCCACAACGGCCGTGGTCTCACCTCTCGGTGGACTTTGTCACGGACCTTCCCCCCTCTCAGGGGAACACCACTATTCTGGTCGTTGTGGATCGGTTCTCTAAGGCCTGTCGTCTCATCCCAATGCCGGGTCTCCCTACTGCCCCACAGACCGCTGAGGCTTTGTTCACCCACGTCTTCCGGCACTACGGGGTTCCCGAGGATATAGTGTCTGATCGGGGTCCCCAATTCACCTCTAGAGTCTGGAGGGCGTTCATGGAACGCTTGGGGGTCTCGGTTAGCCATACCTCGGGTTTCCACACTGAGAGTAATGGGCAGGTGGAGAGAGTGAACCAGGATGTGGGTAGGTTTCTGAGATCATATTGCCAGGGCCGGCAGGAGGAGTGGTCGGGGTATATCCCCTGGGCAGAGATGGCTCAGAACTCTCTTCGCCACTCCTCTACTAACCTGACCCCTTTCCAGTGCGTGTTAGGGTATCAGCCGGTTCTGGCACCATGGCATCAGAGCCAGATCGAGGCTCCTGCGGTGGATGAGTGGTTTCGGCGCTCGGAGGAGACGTGGAATGCTGCACACGTACATCTGCAGCGGGCCATCCGCAGGCAGAAGGCGAGCGCCGATCTCCACCGCAGTGAGGGTCCAGTATACGCACCTGGAGATCGAGTCTGGCTCTCGACTCGAAACCTGCCCCTTCGCCTGCCCTGCCGGAAGCTTGGCCGGCAGTTTGTGGGGCCATTTAAAGTCCTGAGGAGATTGAACGAGGTGTGTTACAAGCTGCAACTGCCTAATGACTATCACATTAACCCCTCGTTCCATGTGTCTCTCCTCAGGCCGGTGGTAGCTGGTCCACTCCAGGACAGTGAGATAAGAGAGACCCCTCCGCCCTCACTGGACATCGAGGGGGCTCCGGCGTACTCAGTCCGGTCCATCGTGGATTCGAGACGTCAGATGGGGGGTCTACAATATCTCGTGGAGTGGGAGGGGTACGTTGGGAGGAACGGTGCTGGGTGCCTAGGAGGGACATTTTAGATCCATCCCTCCTGACTGAGTTCCACCGTAGTCATCCTACGCGCCCTGCTCCACGTCCTCCTGGCCATCCCCGAGGCCGGGGTCGGCGCACGGCTGGAGCCGCGCGTCAAGGGGGGGGGGGGGGGGTACTGTCACGAATTCCGCTGAGACTGCTCCTCCTCTAGTTCGGGCAGGCTTCGGCGTTCGTCGTCCCCGGAGTACTAGCTGCTACCGCTTGATGTTCTCTATGTTTGTTTGGTTTTGTCTTGTTGGTGCACCTGTTTCGTCTTATGTATTGATTATGTCACCTATAAGTTTCCTTTGGTTTTGTTTGCAGTTGTGTGTTGTTGTCCGCCTGTCCGTTGGTGAATCTTTATTGTGCTCTAGTTGTTAGTGTTTTTACGCACTGTTTGCGTAATCGCTCACCTCCTGTGTTTGAGGCCCGTTATTTTTGTTATTGTCTTTGTGACAATTAAAGTCGTTTCGACTAAGCTTCTGTGTCCTGCGCCTGACTCCAACACCGCATCCACATCAGCTTGTGACAATGCTGCAGTGCAAATCAAATAGACCTCTGAAAATACAATTCAGAGAACCCATTATCTGCCATGATTGAATTCTGACCAGAAAGCAGTTAGTAGAGCCATTCCCTGCTATCTACCAACTCTCAATCATAACTGCGGTAATATCAGATATCAGATAAATGGCTGGCACACTTCCTGAAAGCTATTAGCCAAGCTAATAAAAGCTAATTCAATAAACCAGTATTGATCATCTGGTTGCGTCTGGCTGACCTTGGAGGGATGGCCTCTCCCAGGCTATGCCACTTAGGCCTCAGTTTGCCCTGGCACACCAGCTTGCCTTCAGAACCAGAGCAGTGGTGGTGAGCACCAGGATCAGCCCAAGCAGGAGACTCAGGACACCTACAGTGAGGAGATTCATGAGTCATTCTATGTCAATTCAGCAAGCCATGACACCCACTATTTCAGATTGTTCTAAAGGTTTATGTAGTTAAAAACAGATCATATAAACATTCCTGCAACAATTTGTTGTTGAAATATAATTTGATCTCTGAGAAATTAAGCTACTTGATTGCGCCCAAATTGGAACAATCTGGTCGCCGTCAAAATTATCTTTCTTGTGCTCATTTGAAGTGAAACGACCCTAAATGAAACTTCAATTCAACCTTATTTTCCTGTGGAGGAACTGACACACACATGGCTATGATATGTAGTGTAAAGTGTGTCATGCCATATGACAGAGAGGTGCACAGAGATTGGTAACCAGTTGTGCTCTATAGTACCTTTTTTGTTGTTGCCGTTCATTTTAACTGGTTTTAAGAGACAAGGCACAACTTAACTTGTTCTTAGTCTATTCAGACCCTTGGATCCATTGAGCATCTTTTTGATCCATTTTGTATTTTCCACAGAATCAATGCAGCCTGTATTCTCTGTCTTTTTTCTGCTCAACAGTACCTAGTTCTCTCTTGCTGTATGATAAACTGCTTATGAATTGGAACACAGCATTTAAACACAGAAAGGAAAATAAATTGTTAACCAATCAATTCAAAGAAAAACAGGAGGGTGATATGCACATGACCAATTGATTCACACCTAAGAATCAGTCTATGATTCTATACTATGGTACTGTGCCTTGATTTCTCTTGCTGTATTTAAGTATTGTTATTGATTACATACCCTTTCAGATGTGAATGGTCAGTGGCTGTGTCTCAAATGGCACCCTATGCCCAAAGGGCTCTGGTCAAAAGTATTGCACTAATGGTGTTTTTCCATAGGTGTCACTCCAGCCTTTTTGGGATTTAAGCACTAGCGATATTTTGGGAATTATGTTTCCATCACCCGAAGTGATTATTGGGACTTGAAAAGAGACGTGTCTACAACCTCTGAATAATCAAAACAGTTGCTTTGTGAGAAGGTTACCATGGAAGAAATACACCATAAATAGGGAATAGGGTGTTATTTGAAATACACAGTGTACCTCACCTACGATGGCGCCCCAGTCAGGCAGCAGGTTGAGCCGGTGTTGTTTGATGACCCCGTGCATGACCAGTTGGGCGGGGTTCATGGGCTGGAAAACAGCTGCAGTGGGGTCACACTCTGTCCCTCTCTCACTGACCACTGCCACTAGACTCCACTCTGGAACGGCGTTGTCCAGGAACACATACTTCCCCGTCTCCGAGAACACGTGTGCATATCTAATGGAAAAAGAGGAGACAACTCTGAAAAGGCACGCCATTACTTACACTCTTCGAAAAAATGGGTTCTTCGGCTGTCCCAATAGGATAACCATTTTTGGTTCCAGGTAGAACCCTTTTGGGTTCCATGTAGAACCCTCTGTGGTAAGTGTTCGACATTGAACCCAAAATGGTTCTACATGTAACCAAAGGGTTTCTAACTGGAACCAAAAGGGTTTCTTCAAAGGGTTCTCTTAGGGGGACAGTCGAAGAACCTTTCAAGGTTCTAGATAGCAACTGTTTTCTAAGAGAGTATATAGTGCACTACTTTTGCACAGAGCCCATTCACATATTGTACTTCCCTGTCTCAGAGAACATGTGGGCATATACTGTATATGGTAAAAGAAGAGTCACTAATAAAATCTGAAATGGCATCTTATATCACGACAAGACCCAGATGCAGACAGTTCGAAAAAGCAAAAGTTGGATTACAAAAACAAGGTACAGAAACGGCAGGCAGGCTCAGGGTCAGGGTCAGGACTCAGGACAGGCAGAATGGTCAAAACCGGGAAAAACTGGAAAACAGGGGCTAGAGCAAAACAGGAGTACGGGGAAACCGCTGGTAGGCTTGACGAGACAAGACGAACTGGCAACAGACAAACAGAGAACGCAGGTATAAATACACAGGGGATAATGGGGAAGATGGGCGATGCCTGTAGGGGGGTGGAGATAAGCACAAAGACAGGTGAAACAGATCAGGTTGTGACATCTTATTCCCTATGTATTCCCTATATAGTGCACTACTTATTCTATACAGGGAATAGGGTGCCATTTTGGATGCATCCACAAATAGAGAACAGATGCTTCAGATTGCTAATGTACATCTAATATGACCTAACTGAAGACTAAAGGCCATAAGGTACCTTCATACCTGGTAGAGTTGAACTGTCGCAAAACAGAATAGTTAAAGGGATAGTTCCCTTTTTTGAAGTTTACCGCAAGATGATGCAATCCGTTTCCACTTGTTACTTGCTCCAAAAATGCTAGCCAGGAGATTATGGACATTGCTAAATACTCAGCAAACAAACTCAAAAGCGGATTGGATGAAACAACTACACCCTAGGTAAATCGAAAATAAGCAAAAACTTCAAACAGCTGAACTATCCCTTTAAGTTAGAGCCCCAGGGAAGGTTTGAAAGAATGACATACCAGTGTAGTTGATGGTGCGCTGTAAGATAAGCATGTCATTGGAGGATAGGCATGCTATGGGGTTGGGGATGCGAGGGAAGACATTGGAGTGTAGAAGTTCTGCCATAGATTCTAGACCCCTCCTCTTCCTTGATCCCCTATCAATACTTTTGATTGGCTCTGCTGCAGGCAAATAATGAACTATTGAAAACATACAGCTTTGCTTTAAGAAATGGCTTAGATAAATATAATAGAAACTGATGTAATTCAATCAAATCCAATTACCTGTCAGGGCCATTTCAATAAGATTTCGGTCTATCAGAATCCAACCGTATACACCTTCAGAATCAAACTAAACTAAGTGGATGTTTCCAATGTTCTTCACATGGACGTCTGGTCCCAAAACATCCATCATTTTCTACAGGAAAGAAAGGATACATGTCATTAAGGATCTAATGATAATTGGAGTAAATGGATAATCATTATTATTGTATTTGTCTGCTATATTACTGTGTAAATTTAGAATATGAATCCATACCAGCATTGGGGTCAATTCCATGTCAATTCAGGAAGTAAACTTGAAATTCAATTTCCTATTCCAATTTTCCCCAATGAGGAAGGATGTTGAATTGGAATTTCACTCTACTTCCTGAATTGACTGAATTGAAAAGGAATTGACTCCAACTCTGATCCATACTGTTTATTCACCACAAGGCTATCCCAAGGATACAACAGCTTTAATAGTTAAGTCATCACACTGCAGCTATCTTCATATCCATACTGTACAGTCATGGTCAAAAGTTTTGAGAATGACACAAATACTAATTTTCACAAAGTCTGCTGCCTCAGTTTTGATGATGGCAATTTGCATATACTCCAGAATGTCATGAAGAGTGATCAGATTAATTGCAAAGTCCCTCTTTGCCATGAAAATGAACTTGATCCCCAAAAAATATTTCCACTGCATTTCAGCCCTTGCTAGTAACAGATGACATTCATATTCTGACTACCTCTGAAACTCACTTAGATAATACCTTTGCTGATATAGTGGTAGCAATACAAGATTATAACATTTACAGAAAACACAGAAATGCCAATGGTGGAGGTGTTGCTGTTTATATTCAGAACCACATTCCTGTAAAGCTTAGAGAGGATCTCATGTTAAATAATGTTGAAGTACTATGGCTACAGGCTCACCTACCTCACCTAAAGCCCATTCTTGTGGGAAACTGCTATAGACCACCAAGTGCTAACAGTCAGTATCTGGATAACATGTGTGAAATGCTTGGTAATGTATGTGATATCAACAGAGAGGTATATTTTCTTGGTGATTTAAATATTGACTGGGTTTCATCAAGCTGCCCACTCAAGAAAAAGCTTCAAACTGTAACCATTGCCTGCAACCTGGTTCAGGTTATCAGTCAACCTACCAGGGTAGTTACAAACAGCACAGGAATGAAATCATCAACATGTATTGATCACATCTTTACTAATGCTGCGGAAATTTGCTTGAAAGCAGTATCCAGATCCATCAAATGTAGTGATCACAAAATAGTAGCCATATCTAGGAAAACCAAAGTTCCAACGGCTGGGCCTAATATAGTGTAGAAGAGGTCATACAATAAGTTTTGTAGTGATTCCTATGTTGTTGATGTAAAGAATATTTGTTGGTCCGTGGTGTGTAATGAGGAGCAAACAGACGCTGCACTTGACACATTTATGAAATTGCTAATTCCAGTAACTAATAAGCATTTACCCATTAAGAAAATGACTGTAAAAACTGTTAAATCCCCATAGATTGATGAGGAATTGAAAAATTGTATGGTTGAGAGCGATGAGGCAAAAGGAATGGCAAATAAGTCTGGCTGCACAACCGATTGGCAAACGTATTGCAAATTGAGAAATCATGTGACTAAACTGAATGCAAAGAAGAAGAAACTACAACATGAAACAAAGATAAATTACATAAAGAATGATAGTAAAATGCTTTGGAGCACCTTAAAATTAAATGTTGAATCAGATGGCTCATTCATCACAAAACCGACTGATATTGCCAACTACTTTAATGATTTTTTCATTGGCAAGATTAGCAAACTTAGGCATGAAATGCCAGCAACAAACGCTGACACTACACATCCAAGTATATCTGACCAAATTCTGAAAGACAAGCATAGTAATTTTGAATTCCGTAAAGTGAGTGTGGAAGACGTGAAAACATTATTGTTGTCTATCAACAATGATAAGCCAACGGGTTCTGGCAACTTGGATGGAAAATTACTGAGGATAATAGTGGACTGTCATTATGTTTGACCAGATACAATGCTATTTTAGATTAAACAAATTGACAACAGACTTTCAGCACGCTTATAGGGAAGGACATTCAACAAGCACAGCACTTACACAAATTACTGATGATTGGCTGAGAGAAATTGATGATAAAAAGATTGTGGGGGCTGTTAGACTTCCGTGCGGCTTTTGACATTATCGATCATAGTCAGCAGCTGGAAAAACGTATGTGTTATGGCTTTACATCCCCTGCTATATTGTGGACAAAGAGTTACCTGTCTAACAGAGGGTGTTTTTTAATGGAAGCATCTCCAACATAATCCAGGTAGAATCAGCAATTCCCCAGGGCAGTTGTCTAGGCCCCTTACTTTTTTCAGTCTTTACTAATGACATGCCACTGGCTTTGAGTAAAGCCAGTGTGTCTATGTATGCAGATGACTCAACACTATACAGGTCAACTACTACAGCGACTGAAATGACTGCAACACTTAACAAGGAGCTGCAGTTAGTTTCAGAGTCGGTGGCAAGGAATAAGTTAGTCCTAAATATTTTTACACTAAAAGCATTGTATTTGGGACAAATCATTCACTAAACCACAAAACTCAACTAAATCTTGTAATAAATAATGTGGAAATTGAGCAAGTTGAGGTGACTAAACTGCTTGGAGTAACCCTGGATTGTAAACTGTCATGGTCAAAACATATTGATACAACAGTAGCTAAGATGGGCAGAAGTCTGTTCATAATAAAGTGTTACTTTACCTTCTTAACAGCACTATCAACAAGGCAGGTCCTACAGGCCCTAGTTTTGTCGCACCTGGACTACTATTCAGTCGTGTGGTCTGGTGACACAAAAAGTGACTTAGGAAAATTGCAATTGGCTCAGAACAGGGAAGCACGGCTGGCCCTTGGATGTACACAGAGAGCTATCATTAATAATAATACGCATATCGAACTCTCTCCTGGTTCAAAGTGGAGGAGAGATTGACTTCATCACTACTTGTATTTGTGCGAGGTATTGACATGTTGATTGCACCGAGCTGTCTGTTTGAACTACTGGTGCACAGCTCGGACACCCATGCATACCCCACAAGATATGCCACAAGAGGTGTCTTCACAGTCCCCAAGTCCAGAATAGACTATGCAAGGCGCACAGTACTACATAGAGCCATGACTACATGGAACTCTATTCCACATCAAGTAACTTTTAAAAAGTTTAAAAAACAGATAAAATACACCTTATGGAACAGCGGGGACTGTGAAGCAACACAAACATAGGCACAGACACATGCATACACACACACGATAACATACGCACTATACACACACGTACACATGAATTTTGTATTGTAGATATGTGGTAGTGGTGGAGTAGGGGCCTGAGGGCACACAGTGTATTGTGAAATATGTAAATGTATTGTAATGTTTTTTAAATGGTATAACTGCCTTAATGTTGCTGGAAGAGTAGGCAGCAGCTAATGGGGATCCATAATAAACACAAAAACAAATGCCATCACAACAGCAGCAGAGTTGGCTATAGCACATACAGTATGGCTTTGAGGCTACTGAAGCCATCTTGGGCAGAGTCATGTGATGGAGGTCAAGTCCCCTGAGTGTGTGACTTCTCAGAAAGTTCCAGATGGATAGGGCCATAAGGCTGTATTACTGTACATCCGGTGGTGGCTGGTGGTGGTGCTCACTTTGCTCCACACTCGGCTTTCATCTGGCTCTTTGATCCCCAGCAGCAGCTGTCCATCTGGGGAGAGCCTGGCAGAGATGTGGGGCAGTCTGGACAGACATGATGTGTTGCAAAGCTCCTCTGCTGATACGTAGCGCTCACAGTGGCAGCTGATGAAGAGAGAGAGAGAGACTGTAAGCTCCTGAGTTGGAAGTAGGAGGGATTTATATAGGCTCCTCTACATCATGGCATAGATTAATATAAAATATATCTGCTTATACACAAATACAACTGTAATATAACTGAGCAGACGCTTTTATCCAAAGCGACTTACAGGGAGTGCCTACATAGTAAGTATATGTGATCCCTGCAGGAATTGAACCAACAACCTTGTGTTGCGAGCACCACATTCTTACCAACTGAGTCACACAGTACGGTTGGTAAAGGACACTGGATGACTGTAACATTGAACAATATTACAGTTAATTTAATAGACCAGAGATAGTTTTGAATAAGCCAACAATAAATACAACAGAAATATTGGACATGGTAAAAATTGGAAATGTGGTCCTCTGTAGCTCAGTTGGTAGAGCATGGCGCTTACAACACCAGGATGGTGGGTTCGATTCCCGGGACCCATACCTAAAGATGTATGCACACATGATTGTAAGTCGCATTGGATAAAAGTGTCTGCTAAATGGCATATATTATATTATACAGAGTACTCCACATCCAGACTCCCTCCCTGAGGTCCACAGGTGATGTTACAGGAGTGATGCGAGGGGGAGACGCACCTGTCCCGCACTGCAGCGCTTGTTCACCTACAGTCCAGAGAGGGTTCCTACTCTTATTCCCTCCATTAGTGCAGCAGGAGACAAACATGCACTCACAAGGAACAGTTCTAAAACATGACAAGTGCCATGTGTGGTTACTTCTGTATCCGAGCAGCCAAACACAGATGCATCCGCCTACACTGATTGTTGAATCTAACCTCAGACTGGCAGTCCAGTTCTCTGTCAGAGCTGGAGCTCCTGAAATCCAGATCGTTGTAGAAAATAAAGCCAGTTCGACACAGACAGGAGCCGTCTGAGTGCTGGGTCGTAGCCGGCCGCGACCGGGAGACACATGGGGCGGCGCACAATTTGCCCAGCGTCGTCCAGGGTAGGGGAGGGAATGGCCGGCAGGGATGTAGCTCAGTTGGTAGAGCATGGTGTTTGCAACGCCAGGGTAGTGGGTTCGATTCCCACAGGGGGGCCAGTAAAATATATATATATATATATATATATATATATATATATATATATAAAGTAAAATAATGTCACTAACTGTAAGTCGCTCTGGATAAGAGCGTCTGCTAAATGACTATAATGGAAATGGAAAGCCTTTGCTTTCCTGTGGTATAGTAAAAGTCAAGTTGTAATACTTTGGCTGCATTTACACAGGCAGCCCAATTCTGATATTTTGCCCAATTATTGGTAATTGATTGGTCAAAAGGCCAATTAGTGGTAAAAAAAAAAAAGATAAGAATTGGGCTGTCTGTGTAAACACAGCCTTATTGAAGCAGACTTTCAAACTGATTTGAGGCAACATCAAATGTAAGTCATACATTATATTTAGGGCCCTGTGTTTTGGACAATCATGTCACATGACCTTTACGTAAAGCTTTATTTAAAGCTTCATCAAACTGTCCCCTTTTCTTTTTATGTCAGATGGTCCAGCTCTATACTATCCTCAGACAATTACTTACATCTTTGGAGTAATTTTTCATTTCTGGAAAAGGATCAAATAAAGGTTGTCGGAGGGGTTTGGAACGTTTCAGATGCCTCGCTGCCCTAAACGAGTACCTGAAGAATCTTTGCTACGACATATCTCCTTTTGTGACAATTTTGATTTGCTGAGGGAGCAATCAGCACTTTTTAAAAGCGACAGGAATCACCCTATACACAGGGGTTCCAGGATTATTTTCAGCAACATTGCAAACTATTTTAGAGACTGATGGCCTGGTTCTGGTAGTGCTCCAGTCCTCCCTTTCATAATCAGCAACAGAGGACATGAAAAGCATATGTCCCGTAATGTGGTTAATATAAGTAACCTAATTTATGTTCCTCTAACTCCCTGTTCCTCTAACTGAATACCTCTATAAATCCTGCAGCTATCCATGTCAAGATCAGTTTATTGAATGTAAGATCTCTAAATAATAAATTGTTCTTATGCAATGATTTTATTATTTCCAATGACATTGTTATTTTCATGCTAACTGAGACTTGGCTTAAACTCAAGGATTTTAGTTCTCTAAATGAAACAACCCCTCCAGCCTTTTCTTATCTATAGAAATCAAGGCCGTCTGGCCGTGGTGGTGGGGTAGCCATCATTCATAAAGACAAGTTTATATGTATCAATCAAATCAGCACGTCACGAAGTGCTATACAGAAACCCAGCCTAAAACTCCAAACAGCAAGCAATGCAGATGTAGAAGCTAGAAAAAACTCCCTAGAAAGGCAGAAACCTAGAGAGGAACCAGGCTCTGAGGGGTGGCCAGTCCCCCTCTGTAGCCCTGTGTCATGTGGTAACTGTTCCTCATTTTGAGAGCCTTATATTTTACCTCTGTCACGATCGTTGAGAGACGGGTCAGACCAAGGTCCAGCGTGGTATGCGAACATGTTTATTAAACTTCATAAACAAAACAAGAAACAACGTAACGTGAAGTCCTCAGGCTATACAAATACAAGCCTACACACAGAACAAGATCCCACAACTAAGGTAGGCAACTTAAGTATGATCCCCAATCAGAGACAACGAGCGACAGCTGTCTCTGATTGGGAATCACACCCGGCCAAACATAGAAATACAATACCTAGATCACAAACATAGAATTTCCAGCATAGATTCTCACGCCCTGACCAAACCAACTAAAGACAACAGGCCTCTCAAGGCCAGGGCGTGACAGTACCCCCCTCCAAAGGTGCATACTCCGGCCGCACCAACCTGACTCATTAGGGGAGGGTCCGGGTGGGCTTTCAGCCTCGGAGGCGGATCCGGCTCCGGGTGTGACGACCGCTTCCTCTCTGCCTCCCCGTTGCTCCCCTGGTCTGGTCTGGACCTTGGCGCAATGCTTCCCCTCTCCTTCCTCCCACGATGCACCAAGCCCTATCTGGACCCTGGTGTGGGAGACCCCAAACCTGGAGAGTGGCTGACGTCTGGGCCTGGATCGGCAATCCCCCCACGATGCACCAAGCCCTGTCTGGACCCTGGTGTGGGAGGCCCCGACCCTGGAGAGGGGCTGACGTCTGGGCCTGGATCGGAAATCCCCCCACGATGCACCAAGCCCTGTCTGGACCCTGGTGTGGGAGGGCCCGACGAGGGGCTGACTTCTGGGTCTGAAGTGGAGCTGAACTGGACCCCGGTGGAGTGGACTGCTCTGGCTCCGGAGCGGAACCGCTGACCGGAGCTGGACTGGAAACCGGTGGAGCGGAATGCTCTGACTCCGGAATGGATCCGCTGACCGGAGCTGGATCAGGCACCGGTGGAGCGGATTACTCTGGCTCCGGAGTGGAGCCGCTGACCGGAGCTGGACTGGACCCCGGTGGAGCTGACTGCTCTGGCTCCGGAGTGGAGCCGCTGACCGGAGCTGGACTGGACCCCGGTGGAGCGGACTGCTCTGGCTCCGGAGTGGAGCAGCGGACCGGAGCTGGATCAGGCACCGGTGGAGCGGATTGCTCTGGCTCCGGAGTGGGGCAACCGACCGGAGACGGATCATGTACCGGTGGAGCAGGCCGGGCCGGACTGGGGACACGCACCATTGGTCTGGTGCGAGGAGCAGGCACGGGCCGTACCGGACTGGGAACACGCACCACTGTCTTGGTGCGTGGAGCAGGTACGGGGCGTACCGGGCTGGCGACACACACAACTGGTTTGGTGCGAGGAGCAGGGACGGGCCGTACTGGACAGGGAACATGCACCACAGGTCTGGTGCGAGGAGCAGGAACGGGCCGAGCCGGACTGGGGACACGCACCACTGTCTTGGTGCGAGGAGCAGGCACAGATCTTACCGGACTGGGAGCAAGCACCATTGGCTTGGTGCGAGAAGCAGGCACGAGGCGTTCCGGACTGGGAACCGGCGCTGGAGGTCTACGACTGTACCTGTCCTTTACTCTCCGCGCCCAATCCTCCTCCAGTGAGGACTCCTCCGGGAGCCCTCACGAGTTAGGGAACAGAAACTCATCGTCGTCATCATCCGACTCCTCAGTATAAAACAGTTCCCATTCCTGTTCCCATGGTCGTATGGACTCAAACTGGAAACCCACCGGGTGCAGTGGTCGGGGCTCTTCTCTCTCGCTCCCCGACCACCCCTTTAGCCCCCCCAATTTTTTTTTTTGGGGCTGCCTCTTGGGCTTCCTCCTCGGCCGAGTCCTTTTGGGTCACCGTTTCTCCTCTCCTGCCTGGGCTTCCTCCTTCGCCCAGGGTCCTTTACCCGCAAATATCTCCTCCCAAGACCACATCTTCCCCACCTGTGTCCAGGGTGTTTGCTCCTCCTGGGCACGCTGCTTGGTCCGTTGGGTGTGGGATCTTCTGTCACGATCGTTGAGAGACGGGTCAGACCAAGGTGTAGCGTGGTATGCGAACATGTTTATTAAACTTCATAAACATAAACAAAACAAGAAACAACGTAACGTGAAGTCCTCAGGCTATACAAATACAAGCCTACACACGGAACAAGATCCCACAACTAAGGTAGTCAAACAGGCTACTTAAGTATGATCCCCAATCAGAGACAATGAGCGACAGCTGTCTCTGATTGGGAATCACACCCGGCCTAGCAGGGGAGTTTCTTAACCTGTTAGAATCTTTTAACTTGTGCTACATGCCACAAGGCCTACACACAACAAAGGCCATACTGTTGATCTTGTGCTGTCCTATGGTCTGAATATTGATAACTTGGAAACTATTGATGTATGTGTCTCTGACCATCTCAGTATTGTTTTTAAAATGCTTTCTCCTCCTCCTCCTAAAATGTGTCTGTCCCCACTCGCTGTCGCATCATTAACTCCACAACTGTTAGTACATTTACAAATGCTTTTCTATTCCCTACCGCTGATCCTGTTCTTTGTCTTCACACCGATGATTTGGTGAACAGTTTGGATGACATACACTATATATACAAATGAGTGGATTTGGATATTTCAGCCACACCCGTTGCTGACAGGAGTATAAAATAATTGAGCACACAGCCATGCAATCTCCATAGACAAACATTGGCAGTAGAATGACCTTACTGAAGAGCTCAGTGACTTCCAACGTGGCACCGTCATAGGATGCCACCTTTCCAACAAGTCAGTTCGTCATATTTCTGCCCTGCTAGAGCTGCCCCGGTCAACTGTAAGTGCTGCTATTGTGAAGTGGAAACTTCTAGGAGCAAAAACGACTCAGCCGCGAAGTGGTAGGCCACACAAGCTCACAGAACGGGACTACCGGCAACCCTCCGGTTGCTAGCCCGCTTTTCGAATCTCTAGGCTACCTGCCACCCCAATGCTACAGTAATGGCACAGTAATAGTATGGTGAGATATTGAAGTCTAAGGTGTTTCAGTCTGACCTGTAGAGTTACAGTAGAATCCAGGGGACAGGGGTCCCTCTTGCTGGCTGACCCGTGGGTGGATCTGTAGGTGAATAACGGACATTCCCTGGGTCCCTCCCTCATAGTCACTACCAGCCACCCCATCACAGTATTGACCAGCAAGACACAGGTGTAGAAGAGTTCAATGGAATTCAAAAAATGTCTGGTTCATGGACAAAATACTAAGGGTGTCTCACAGACGTGGGTTCAAATACTATCCTGAACAAAAATATAAATACAACATGCAACAATTTCAACGATTTTACTGAGTTACAGTTAATATAAGGAAATCAGTCAATTGAAATAAATTACATAGGCCCCACATGACTGGGCAGGGGTGATGCCATGGTTGGGCCTGAGAGGATATTGGCCCACCCACTGGGGAGCCAGGCCCAGCCAATCAGAATGAGTATTTCCCCACAAAAGGGCTTCATTACAGACAGACATATTCCTCTGTTTAATCAGCTGTCTGAGTGGCTGGTCTCAGACAATCCCGCAGGTGAAGAAGCCGGATGTGGAGATCCTGGTCTTACGTGGTTACACGTTGTCTGTGGTTGTGAGGCCGGTTGGACGTTTTGCCAAATTCTCTAAAATGAAATTGGAGGCGGCTTATGGTAGAGAAATGAACATTTCATTCTCTGACAACAGCTCTGGTGGACATTCCTGCAGTCACCATGTCAATTTCACGCTCCCTCAAAACTTGAGACATCTGTGGCATTGTGTTTTGTGACAAAACTGTTCATTTTAGAGTGGCCTTTTGTTGTCCCCAGCACAAGGTGCACCTGTGTAATGAACATGCTGTTTAATCAGCTTCTTGATATGCCACACCTGTCAGGTGGATGGTTTATCGTGGCAAAGGAGAAATGCTTACTAACAGGGATGTAAACAAATTTGTGCACAAAATTGGAGAGAAATAAGCTTTCTTTGCGTATGGAAAATTTCTGGGATCTTTTCTTTCAGCTCATGAAACATGGGACCAACACTTTACATGTTGCATCTATATTTTTGTTCAGTATATTTGAAATCATTAAAAAAAATGTAACTGTGCTAGATTGAGCTGCCTGTTGCAATGGAACCGATATAAAAGTCCCAAAAGTGCAAACCCCGCCCAGCCACATGGCAGGCTAGAGCACAGTCTCAAAGTAGTTGAAAGATCTCAAATATGATTTGAACCTAGGTCTGGTGTCTCAAAGTACAATATGTCTCCAATGTTTTGATTAAAATGGGAAGAAAGAATAAGCATTATAATGCATCATTATTATTTAGTATTATAATTACCTTTTTTGCACCACTGCTGTGGTGGACATGGCAGACAATCATGGACATTGGCTGGTCCAGGTAGAACTCTGATAGTGTTGTCACAGCAGACTTCAGGCTTCTCTGAACCTTCTGGGCAGTAGAATCCTGAGACAACAAAGACTCCCAATCATTACACATTAAAATCGATGCTCAGATCTGTATGACCAAGTACTGTAACAACAAACGTCGAACACAGGAACTCCAAAATCGTAAGCAAAAATCTCTCATATCCAATAAACGGCCAATAAATTACGCCCCTGTAATGATCTTGGACTTTGAAATAATACTTTGCATGTTATCCTGTTTTTGAACAACTCATAAGAAGTGACCCATCTGCTGGACAGGGGCCGGCACACTGCATTCCCCATTCACACTGGCTCCAGTTGGAGTGAGGCCCCTGTGGTTTGAACTTAGAGCTGCCAGACATAATAGCCTACAGTAACATAAACTAATTAAAATGCTATTATGTGTTTTTTTTATTAAAGTTTACTAATGTTACCTAAGTCCTTCATAAACACCACCAAATGAGTATTCTTCTGATAACCAGTGGTGTAAAGTAACTAAGTAAAAAAAATGTTGAAGTACTACTTAAGTAGTGTTTTGGGGTATCTGTACTTTACTTTACTATTATATTTTTGACAACATTTACTTTTACTCCACTACATTCCTAAAGAAAATATGTAATTTTACTCCCATACATTTTACCATACACCCAAAAGTCCTAGTTACATTTCAAATGCTCAGGCAGGACAGCAATATGGTCCAATTCACGCACCTATCAATATAACGCGTTATCATACCTACTGCCTTTGATCTGGCGGACTTGCTAAACACAAATACTGCATTTGTAAATTATGTCTGAATGTGCCCCTGGCTGTCCGTCTGGTTTGCATAATATTAGGAATTTGATGTATAGCATTTACTTTTTACTTTTACTCAAGTATGACAATTGAGTATTTTCCCCACCACTGTACTTAAGTACATTTAAAACCAGATACTTTTAGACTTTTACTCAAGTAGTATTTTACTGGGTGACTTTCACTTTTACTTAAGCCATTTTCTATTCAGGTATCTTTACTTTACAAGTATGACAATTGAGTGCTTTTTCCACCACTGTCGATAGCATATATGAAATGAATTTACTGTATTAGACTGTTAGAACATTGACTCGTCATTGGCTCGAAGGGGGGTCCGTCAAGGCCAGGCGTATGCTAATGAGACGCCTGACAACGTTCTCTAGCGGATACTTAAAGGCCCAGTTGTTCTAGTGTTAAGCCTAGTCCTTGAATAAAAAGCGCTTTTAATGAGAATGTCCATTGAGAATGCTTTTTAGTCCAGGACTAGGCTCAATCTATGATTGGGAAACTGGCCCGAAATGTATCACAGCACATAAAAAGGACACAGGGGTTACATACATTAGGCTATAGTCAACATGGACAGTTCTGTGGATGAGCTTACAGAAGAGGATGGGGGAGGGGGGGACAGAAGTGCAATGTAACTGCATTGCAATGGTCACAGTACACAAAATAAGCGATTTCAAAGGTGTTAATAATTGGCCCTCTCTTGAACCATAATCACTGAACCACACATGCTTGAGGGCCTTTATAATTTGGTAGGTAACTAAGAGTTTAGTGCGTGACTGTAGAGTGAGGTGTTAATGAGAAGAGAGTGTTCTGTTATTGTACCTGCAAAACCTCCCTGGGAGGCAGGGCAGACACTCCCGCTCTTCCTGTAACCCCCCCAGGTCAGCAGGGGTGAACGTACCGTTGGGGCACAGCTGGGGAACCATGGTGGCTGGTAAAGATAAAGGTGGAAACAGTATGACAGTATGATAAGGTTGCATTTCTGCAGCTGATGTTGATGTTTTTGTTCTGTGTCGGCTTACCCACCTAGATCAATTCCTAGTAACACTCGTTGCATGGTAATAATGTTTTTGGATTTGGATTCTGGTAGATATGGGCCAGATGAGTCTATATTAACTTAATATTTGTGTGTATAACTATATGCCTAGAGTCTCTCCTAGAGTGGTCCTCTGTAGCTCAATTGGTAGAGCATGGCGCTTGTAACGCCAGGGTAGTGGGTTCGATCCCCGGGACCACCCATATGTAAAAATGTGGGGGGGAAGGGCCAGGGCTCCCCAACAATGGCCTCCTCACAGTAGAAGCCAGGGTGGCAGGGGATGCAGGAGTCAGAGCCTGGGTTGGGCTGGTACTCTCCTGTAGGATAGGGCAGGGCCAGGGGAGAGCCCTCTGGACAGTAATGACGCTGGGTAGGGAGACATTTCAGTAGTCTCAGAGCCTGTCCCAAATCGCTCCCTAAACCTTCTCTTGGCCCTAACCCTTCAGTGTTTGCAAATCTGAAGGGTCTGGAAAGGTATAGTCTCACGCAGCCATACCTTCAAATCACGTTGTTGGCACGCCGCTCCTTTGGAGGTCTGGAGAATTTTGTATTAGCCGAAACGGATAGAATGGCCTGCTGGCTTCCAGCGGCTGCATTTTGATTGGATGTTACATTTCAAGTACGTACATTCCCCCCAGCAGTCTTATGTTCGTCACTGTTTTCCGACCAAAACAACTCTCTACCTGTCTAGCTACAGGCTATGAAAAAAGTTTAGTGTATCAAGTGTGGCCGACAGTCTGCGATTTCACCACAAACACGGCATATATCAACATACACTGAGTGGTGGTCATTGTACGCTGATGATTCATGTTTTCTTTTAAATCCACAACTAGAATCACTCCACAGCCTCATAGAGGATCTAGATACATTTTCTAACCTCTCTGGATTACAACCAAATTATGACAAATGTACTATATTACGTATTGGATCAATAAAAAATACAATTTTTACATTGCCATGTAGTTTACCTATAAAATGGTCTGATGGTGATGTGGATATACTCGGAATACATATCCCAAAGACAATAAATTATCTCACTTCAATAAATTATAATCGAAAGGTAGCAAAAATAGATAAGATCTTGCTACCATGGAAAGGTGAATACTTGTCAATTTGTGGAAAAATCACCCTGATTAACTCTTTAGTATTATCCCAGTTTACCTATTTGCTAATGGTCTTGCCTATGCCTAGCGAACAGTTTTTGAAATTATATGAGAAAAAAATATTCCATTTTATTTGGAACGGCAAGCCAGACAAAATTAAACGGGCCTATTTATATAATGAATATGAATTCGGAGGACAGAAATTATTAAATATTAAAGCATTAGACCTATCACTAAAAAGCTTCAGTCATACAAAAGTTATACTTAAATCCGAACTGGTTCTCTAGCAAATTAGTAAGATTGTCTCACCCAATGTTCAAGAATGGCCTTTTTCCCTTTATTCAGATTACAACCTCTCACTTTCAGTTATTTGAAAAGGAAATCATCTCCCAGATATCACTATTTCTAAAACAAGCCATAGAAAGTTGGTTGCAATTTCAATTTAATCCTCCAGAAACGACAGAACAAATAATGCAACAAATATTGTGGTTAAACTCAAATATACTAATTGACAAACAAACTTTTTTTTTTTGACAAAATGTTTAAAAAAGGTATAATCTTTGTAAGTGATTTTATCGGTAGGACTGGTGGAGTTATGTCGCACATGCAGCTTACAAAAACATATGGAAATGTCTGCTCTACCCAAAATTACAACCAAATAATTGCAGCTTTACCGCAAAAATGGAAGAGGAAAGTGGAAGGAGGAGAAAGTAAGGAACTTGTCTGTCGGCCTTGCATTAAAGAACATAATTGGTTAAGGAAAACTGTGATAAATAAAAAAGTATATCAGTTTCATTTAAGGACCAAAGGATTGACAGCCGTCCCAAATAGATTGCAAAATAGTTGGGAAGATATTTTTGACGTACCGATCCCATGGCATAGTGTTTATGAACTGATACGCAAAACGACACCGGATTCAAAACTTAGAATCTTTCAATTTAAATTATTATATAAAATTCTTGCTACCAATAGAATGTTATTTATATGGGTGATACAATCTTCCCGGCTCTGCAGATTTTGCTGCGAAGAGACAGAATCATTCGATCATTTGTTTTGGTACTGTCCATTTGTAGCTTGTTTTTGGACAAGCTTGTTTTTGGCCAAGAATGGCTAAAGGATTGCAATATTTACCTGGAGCTAACCCTGCAGATAGCACTACTGGGTGATCTGAAAAGTCTTAGTCAATCGATCAATAACATAATACTATTAGCAAAAATGTTTATTTTCAATTCACAATCTGTAGAAACAATGAGAATAGAAAGTACAGTTGAAATATATATGGCAAATAGAAATCCTATATGGATGGTGTTAAAAGATAGATGGGAGGTGTTGAATGGAATTGAAGGATGGGACTAATAACAACTAACAACAAACAATAACAAGATACCTAATAATGTAGGCACGCTGTGTCCATAATAAGTGTATGGGTTGTAGGTTGGGAGCTTTTGTGAAGGAGCACAGTTAGAAAGATATGGCATATTGAAGCAAACCGGATGGACATCATGAAAATGATCGGAGAGGTTGAGAGTAGAAGAAGTTCAGGAGAAAGAACAAACAAAATGTAATTATTGTAAAATTGACTGTGTCCATAAAATGTAGATAGTGGGTATGGGCTGGAAGTAGAGGCCTATGCATTGTTGTTCACTAGTTTACTCCAAGTGGGGAAAGGGTGGCGGGGTTGGAAAGTAATAAAGGAGAATAAAGGGGAATATATATATTTTTTATATATTATATATATGTATGTATGTATGTATGTATGTATGTATGTATGTACAGTGAGGGAAAAAAGTATTTGATCCCCTGCTGATTTTGTAAGTTTGCCCACTGACAAAGACATGATCAGTCTATAATTTTAATGGTAGGTTTATTTGAACAGTGAGAGACAGAATAACAACAACAAAAAATCCAGAAAAACGCATGTCAAAAATGTTATAAATTGATATGCATTTTAATGAGGGAAATAAGTATTTGACCCCTCTGCAAAACATGACTTAGTACTTGGTGGCAAAACCCTTGTTGGCAATCACAGAGGTCAGACGTTTCTTGAAGTTGGCCACCAGGTTTGCACACATCTCAGGATGGATTTTGTTCCACTCCTCTTTGCAGATCTTCTCCAAGTCATTAAGGTTTTGAGGCTGACATTTGGCAACTCGAACCTTCAGCTCCCTCCACAGATTTTCTATGGGATTAAGGTCTGGAGACTGGCTAGGCCACTCCAGGACCTTAATGTGCTTCTTCTTGATCCACTCCTTTGTTGCCTTGGCCGTGTGTTTTGGGTCATTGTCAGGCTGGAATACCCATCCACGACCCATTTTCAATGCCCTGGCTGAGGGAAGGAGGTTCTCACCCAAGATTTGACGGTACATGGCCCCGTCCATTGTCACCATGTCCTGTCCCCTTAGCAGAAAAACACCCCCAAAGCATAATGTTTCCACCTCCATGTTTGACGGTGGGGATGGTGTTCTTGGGGTCATAGGCAACATTCCTCCTCCTCCAAACACGGCGAGTTGAGTTGATGCCAAAGAGCTCCATTTTGGTCTCATCTGACCACAACACTTTCACCTAGTTCTCCTCTGAATCATTCAGATATTCATTGGCAAACTTCAGACGGCCCTGTACATGTGCTTTCTTGAGCAGGGGGACCTTGCGGGCGCTGCAGGATTTCAGTCCTTCACGGTGTAGTGTGTTACCAATTGTTTTCTTGGTGACTATGGTCCCAGCTTCCTTGAGATCATTGACAAGATCCTCCCGTGTAGTTCTGGGCTGATTCCTCACCATTCTCATGATCATTGCAACTCCACAAGGTTTGATCTTGCATGGAGCCCCAGGCCGAGGGAGATTGACAGTTATTTTGTGTTTCTTCCATTTGCGAATAATCGCACCAACTGTTGTCACCTTCTCACCAAGCTGCTTGGCTATGGTCTTGTACCCCATTCCAGCCTTGTGTAGGTCTACAATCTTGTCCCTGACATCCTTGGAGAGCTCTTTGGTCTTGGACATGGTGGAGAGTTTGGAATCTGATTGATTGATTGCTTCTGTGGACAGGTCTATTTTATACAGGTAACAAACTGAGATTAGGAGCACTCCCTTTAAGAGTGTGCTCCTAATCTCAGCTCGTTACCTGTATAAAAGATACCTGGGAGCCAGAAATCTTTCTGATTGAGAGGGGGTCAAATACTTATTTCCCTCATTAAAATGCAAATCAATTTATAACATTTTTGACATGCGTTTTTCTGGATTTTGTTGTTGTTATTCTGTCTCTCACTGTTCAAATAAACCTACCATTAAAATTATAGACTGATCATTTCTTTGTCAGTGGGCAAACGTACAAAATCAGCAGAGGATCAAATACTTTTTTCCCTCACTGTATGTATGTATGTGGGTGTGTATGTGTGTATATGTATATGTGAATGTATGTGTGTGTATGTGTATATATATATATGTGAATGTATGTGTGTGTATGTATATACAGTGGGGAGAACAAGTATTTGATACACTGCCGATTTTGCAGGTTTTCCTACTTACAAAGCATGTAGAGGTCTGTCATTTGTATCATAGGTACACTTCAACTGTGAGAGACGGAATCTAAAACAGAAATCCAGAAAATCACATTGTATGATTTTTAAGTAATTAATTTGCATTTTATTGCATGATATAAGTATTTGATACATCAGAAAAGCAGAACTTAATATTTGGTACAGAAACCTTTGTTTGCAATTACAGAGATCATATGTTTCCTGTAGGTCTTGACCAGGTTTGCACACACTGCAGCAGGGATTTTGGCCCACTCCTCCATACAGACTTTCTCCAGATCCTTCAGGTTTCGGGGCTGTCGCTGGGCAATACGGACTTTCAGCTCCCTCCAAAGATTTTCTATTGGGTTCAGGTCTGGAGACTGGCTAGGCCACTCCAGGACCTTGAGATGCTTCTTACGGAGCCACTCCTTAGTTGCCCTGGATGTGTGTTTCGGGTCATTGTCATGCTGGAAGACCCAGCCACGACCCATCTTCAATGCTCTTACTGAGGGAAGGAGGTTGTTGGCCAAGATCTCGTGATACATGGCCCCATCCATCCTCCCCTCAATACGATGCAGCCGTCCTGTCCCCTTTGCAGAAAAGCATCCCCAAAGAATGATGTTTCCACCTCCATGCTTCACGGTTGGGATGGTGTTCTTGGGGTTGTACTCATCCTTCTTCTTCCTCCAAACACGGCGAGTGGAGTTTAGACCAAAAAGCTCTATTTTTGTCTCATCAGACCACATTACCTTCTCTCATTCCTCCTCTGTATCATCCAGATGGTGATTGGTAAACTTCAGACGAGCCTGGACATGCGCTGGCTTGAGCAGGGGGACCTTGCGTGCGCTGCAGGATTTTAATCCATGACGGCGTAATGTGTTACTAATGGTTTTCTTTGAGACTGTGGTCCCAGCTCTCTTCAGGTCATTGACCAGGTCCTGCCGTGTAGTTCTGGGCTGATCCCTCACCTTCCTCATGATCATTGATGCCCCACGAGGTGAGATCTTGCATGGAGCCCCAGACCGAGGGTGTTTGACCGTCACCTTGAACTTCTTCAATTTTCTAATAATTGCACCAACAGTTGTTGCCTTCTCACCAAGCTGCTTGCCTATTGTCCTGTAGCACATCCCAGCCTTGTGCAGGTCTACAATTGTATCCCTGATGTCCTTACACAGCTCTCTGGTCTTGGCCATTGTGGAGAGGTCAAACAGGTGTAGTTAATACAGGTAATGAGTGGAGAACAGGAGGGCTTCTTAAAGAAAAACTAACAGGTCTGTGAGAGCCGGAATTCTTACTGGTTGGTAGGTGATCAAATACTTATGTCATGCAATAAAATGCAAATTAATTACTTAAAAATCATACAATGTGATTTTCTGGATTTTTGTTTTAGATTCCGTCTCTCACAGTTGAAGTGTACCTATGATCAAAATTACTGACCTAAACATGCTTTGTAAGTAGGAAAACCTGCAAAATCGGCAGTGTATCAAATACTTGTTCTCCCCACTGTATATATACATACAGTGCTCAAAAAAATAAAGGGAACACTAAAATAACACATCCTAGATCTGAATGAATGAAATAATCTTATTAAACACTTTTTTCTTTACATAGTTGAATGTGCTGACAACAAAATCACACAAATGGAAATAAAATGTATCAACCCATGGAGGTCTGGATTTGGAGTCACCCTCAAAATTAAAGTGGAAAACCACACTACAGGCTGATCCAACTTTGATGTAATGTCCTTAAAACAAGTCAAAATGAGGCTCAGTAGTGTGTGTGGCCTCCACGTGCCTGTATGACCTCCCTACAACGCCTGGGCATGCTCCTGATGAGGTGGTGGATGGTCTCCTGAGGGATCTCCTCCCAGACCTGGACTAAAGCATCCGCCAACTCCTGGACAGTCTGTGGTGCAACGTGGCGTTGGTGGATGGAGCAATACATGATGTCCCAGATGTGCTCAATTGGATTCAGGTCTGGGGAACGGGCGGGCCAGTCCATAGCATCAATGCCTTCCTCTTGCAGGAACTGCTGACACACTCCAGCCACATGAGGTCTAGCATTGTCTTGCATTAAGAGGAACCCAGGGCCAACCGCACCAGCATATGGTCTCAGAAGGGGTCTGAGGATCTCATCTCGGTACCTAATGGCAGTCAGGCTACCTCTGGCGGCCCCCCAAAGAAATGCCACCCCACACAATGACTGACCCACCACCAAACCGGTCATGCTGGAGGATGTTGCAGGCAGCAGAACGTTCTCCACAGCGTCACGTCTGTCACATGTGCTCAGTGTGAACCTGCTTTCATCTGTGAAGAGCACAGGGCGCCAGTGGCGAATTTGCCAATCTTGGTGTTCTCTGGCAAATGCCACCTGTGGACGTCGGGCCCTCATACCACCCTCATGGAGTCTGTTTCTGACCGTTTGAGCAGACACATGCACATTTGTGGCCTGCTGGAGGTCATTTTGCAGGGCTCTGGCAGTGCTCCTCCTGCTCCTCCTTGCACAAAGGCGGAGGTAGCAGTCCTGCTGCTGGGTTGTTGCCCTCCTACGGCCTCCTCCACGTCTCCTGATGTACTGGCCTGTCTCCTGGTAGCGCCTCCATGCTCTGGACACTACGCTGACAGACACAGCAAACCTTCTTGTCACAGCTCGCATTGATGTGCCATCCTGGATGAGCTGCACTACCTGAGCCACTTGTGTGGGTTGTAGACTCCGTCTCATGCTACCACTAGAGTGAAAGCACCACCAGCATTCAAAAGTGACCAAAACATCAGCCAGGAAGCATAGGAACTGAGAAGTGGTCTGTGGTCACCACCTGCAAAACCAGTCCTTTATTGGGGGTGTCTTGCTAATTGCCTATAATTTCCACCTGTTGTCTATTCCATTTGCACAACAGCATGTGAAATGTATTGTCAATCAGTGTTGCTTCCTAAGTGGACAGTTTGATTTCACAGAAGTGTGATTGACTTGGAGTTACATTGTGTTGTTTAAGTGTTCCCTTTATTTTTTTGAGCAGTGTATATATAAACATGGGGGATTGGAAGTGATGCAGACAATTACATTGATGGAAGTTACAATCTATCTGCAATATTAAGCTGATCTACCCCCCCCCCCCCCCCAAAAAAAAATACAAAATACAACAACAACAAAAAATACACTAAGTGTACAAATCCTTAGGAACACCTGCTCTTTCCATGACATAGACTGACCAGGTGAATCCAGATGAAAGCTATGATCCCTTATTGATGTCACTTGTTAAATCCACTTCAATCAGCGTAGATGATGGTCCTCTGTAGCTCAGCTGGTAGAGCACGGCGCTTGTAACGCAAAGGTAGTGGGTTCAATCCCCGGGACCACCCATACACAAAAATGTATGCACGCACGACTGTAAGTCGCTTTGGATAAAAGCGTCTGCTAAATGGCATATTATTATTATATTATTATTATTATGAAGGGAAAGAGACAGGTTAAAGAAGGATGTTTAAGCCTTGAGACATTTGAGACATGGATTGTGTATGTGTGCCATTCAGAGGTGAATGGGCAAGACAAAAGATTTAAGTGCCTTTGAACAAGTTATGGTAGTAGGTGCCAGCAGCACCAGTTTGAGTGTGTCAAGAACTGCAACGCTGTTGGGTTTTTCCGCGCTCAACAGTTTCCCATGTATATCAAGAATGGTCCACCACCAAAAAGACATCCAGCCAACCTGACACAACTGTGGGAAGCATTGGAGTCAACATCGGCCAGCATTCCTGTGGAATGCTTTTGACACCTTGTAGAGTTCATGCCCCGACAAATTGAGGCTGTTCTGAGGGCAAAGCGGGTGCAACTCAATATTGGGAAGTTCCTAATGTTTTGTACACTCAGTGTATTTTGATAGGGTTTTAATCAGCGAATCACCATATTGTTACTTATAGATTTGCAAACATTGAAGGGTTAGGCCAAATGGAGGATTAGGGAGCAATTTAGGACTCTCTCTCTGGTGGCTGTTGTACATATTAAACGGATGAGCTGAGTTTGTCAAAGTGATTTCAAATCAAATCAAATCAAATTGTATTGGTCACATGCACCGAATACAACAGGTGCAGACATTACAGTGAAATGCTTACTTACAGCCCTTAACCAACAGTGCATTTATTTTTAACAAAAAAAGTAAAAATAAAACAACAACAAAAAAAGTGTTGAGAAAGAAAAGAGCAGAAGTAAAATAAAGTAACAGTAGGGAGGCTATATATACAGGGGGGTACCGTTGCAGAGTCAATGTGCGGGGGCACCGGCTAGTTGAGGTAGTTGAGGTAATATGTACATGTGGGTAGAGTTAAAGTGACTATGCATAAATAATTAACAGAGTAGCAGCAGCGTAAAAAGGATGGGGTGGGGGGGCAGTGCAAATAGTCCGGGTAGCCATGATTAGCTGTTCAGGAGTCTTATGGCTTAGGGGTAGAAGCTGTTGAGAAGTCTTTTGGACCTAGACTTGGCACTCCGGTACCGCTTGCCGTGCGGTAGCAGAGAGAACAGTCTATGACTAGGGTGGCTGGAGTCTTTGACAATTTTGAGGGCCTTCCTCTGACACCGCCTGGTATAGAGGTCCTGGATGGCAGGAAGCTTGGCCCCAGTGATGTACTGGGCCGTACGCACTACCCTCTGTAGTGCCTTGCGGTCGGAGGCCAAGCAGTTGCCACACCAGGCGGTGATGCAACCAGTCAGGATGCTCTCGATGGTGCAGCTGTAGAATTTTTTGAGGATCTGAGGACCCATGCCAAATCTTTTCAGTCTCCTGAGGGGGAATAGGCTTTGTCGTGCCCTCTTCACGACTGTCTTGGTGTGTTTGGACCATGATAGTTCGTTGGTGATGTGGACACCAAGGAACTTGAAGCTCTCAACCTGTTCCACTACAGCCCCGTCGATGAAAATGGGGGCGTGCTCAGTCCTCTTTTTTTTCCTGTAGTCCACAATCATCTCCTTTGTCTTGGTCACGTTGAGGGAGAGGTTGTTGTCCTGGCACCACACGGCCAGGTCTCTGACCTCCTCCCTATAGGCTGTCTCATCGTTGTCGGTGATCAGGCCTACCACTGTTGTGTCGTCGGCAAACTTAATGATGGTGTTGGAGTCGTGCCTGGCCATGCAGTCATGGGTGAACAGAGAGTACAGGAGGGGACTGAGCACTCACCCCTGAGGGGCCCTCGCGTTGAGGATCAGTGTGGCAGATGTGTTGTTACCTACCCTTACCACCTGGGGGCGGCCCGTCAGGAAGTCCAGGATCTAGTTGCAGAGGGAGGTGTTTAGTCCCAGGATCCTTAGCTTAGTGATGAGCTTAGAGGGCACTATGGTGTTGAATGCTGAGCTGTAGTCAATGAATAGCATTCTCACGTAGGTGTTCCTCTTGACCAGGTGGGAAAGGGCAGTGTGGAGTGCAATAGAGATTGCATCATCTGTGGATCTGTTGGGGCGGTATGCAAATTGGAGTGGGTCTAGGGTTTCTGGGATAATGCTGTTGATGTGAGCCATGACCAGCCTTTCAAAGCACTTCATGGCTACAGACGTCAGTGCTACGGGTCGGTAGTCATTTAGGCAGGTTATCTTAGAGTCCTTGGGCACGGGGACTATGGTGATCTGCTTGAAACATGTTGGTATTACAGACTCAGTCAGGGACATGTTGAAAATGTCAGTGAAGACACTTGCCAGTTGGTCAGCACATGCTCGGAGTACACGTCCTGGTAATCCGTCTGGCCCTGCGGTCTTGTGAATGTTGACCTGCTTAAAAGTCTTACTCACATCGGCTACGGAGAGCGTGATCACATAGTAATCCGGAACAGCTGGTGCTCTCATGCATGCTTCAGTGTTGCTTGCCTCGAAGCGAGCATAGAAGTGGTTTAGCTCGTCTGGTAGGCTTGTGTCACTGGGCAGCTCGCAGCTGTGCTTCCCTTTGTAGTCTGTAATAGTTTTCAAGCCCTGCCACATCCGACGAGCGTCAGAGCCAGTGTAGTACGATGGTGCAGAGACTGGGTTTGCATCCCCGCATCCATCACTCTTACTGTCATCTCGTCATCCCTGTTTCTATAACAGTCAAAAAAAATAACATTTTAAATCCTATCGATTACCATTATTATTCATTACTATAGGACCTCAGAGATATGAACACGTCGGGAATGGTGGGGTTCAGAACGCTGCAATGTCAAAAAACACATCAAACCACAATATAAAATATTTAATACATGTTCCGGTTTGATATTGACCATTCAGTTGACCAGTCAGTCCATACATTTCGAAGTTAAAATCTTTGAGGTTCTACTGTAGTCCAATTGGACAGGAGTGAGGCGAGCAGGATAGAGCTCACCATAGGGAGAAGTCAAATGGGCAGTAGAAGCCAGCAGCACACAGGCCACTGGGGGAGGCCCTCACTGGAACAGTAGTGTCCGGGGGGACAGGGGGAGCAGCTGTCTATGGATAACCCCCCTGTTGGATAACAGTAACAAAAGACATTCACACGCTTACATTAATTTTGCATTATTCAGATCAAATCTTTGAATAAAGGCATAGCTCCGCCTTGAGCCAGTGAGCATTCAGATCACTGTTGACTCCTGATAAATGCATGCCATTTAGCACTAAAGCAGAACATGCCGATATCAGGAGTGAGTTTAAAAAATAGGTGTGTATCTGATTTGTAACGGCACTTCGTAGTTTACACTAAACCAATGTGCAGTTATCGACTGTATCTAATACAAAAAAACAGTACTAAGTAAGGCCAGGATTCAAACCAACGCAGATTAACAACCTGCACACTGCGATAGACCTTCAAAGGCAATTACCAGATGTTCCCCGAGATTGTGTCACCGTGGATGTCAGCTCAAGCATAAATCACCCTTAAAAGTGAATCGCAGTACACAGGTCGTTAATCTGTGTTGGCTTGAATCCCAGCAAGAATCCTTATCACGTTGATGTATCTCTATGTACCGGTGTGGTTTCGGATGCTGCCTGCAGGACACGGCAGTGGGGAGAGGGTCCCAGACAGGCAATAGTGGCCCACGGGGCAGGGCCCGTTCCTGGGAAAGATGGCTGAGCTCTGGGGATCTGGACCTGGCGCTCCACGCTGGCAGAAATAGGCCTGGTAACAACAACCAAACACACACACAATCACACCAACCTGTTTGCTTTTATACTCTATCCGATCTGCTTCTCCTGCTTGGTTCCTTGCATAACATCTAGTCAATAGTAATCGGTGCAAGAAATTCAGAGTTAATATAAAACAAGGCAACAGTAAACTGTTGTCCCCCAAGGACTGTAATTTTGTAAATGTCAGATCTCCATGGCAAGACGCTTCATTCACCCAAGTGGTGTCTGAGATAACATGTGTGACTAACTTACGAACGTACAAACGTACAATATACACTACAAGTCTACACCTACTCATTCAAGGGTTTTTCTTCATTTTTACTATTTTTACATTGTACAATAATAGTGAAGACATCAAAACTATCAAATAACACATATGGAATCATGTACTAACCAAAAACAAATCAAAATATATTTTATATTTGAGATTCTTCAAATAGCCACCCTTTGCCTTGATGACAGCTTTGTACACTCTTGGCATTCTCTCAACCAGCTTCATGAGGTAGTCACCTGGAATGCATTTCACTTAACAGGTGTGCCTTCTTAAAAGTTAATTTGTGGAATTTATTTCCTTCTTAATGCTTTTGAGCCAATCAGTTGTGTTGTGACAAGGTATGGGGGTATACAGAAGATAGCCCTATTTGGTAAAAGACCAAGTCCATATTATGGCAAGAACAGCTCAAATAAGCAAAGAGAAACGACAGTACATCATTACTTTAAGACATGAAGGTCAGTCAATACGGAACATTTCAAGAACTTTGAAAGTTTCTTCAAGTGCAGTCGCAAAAACCATCAAGCGCTATGATGAAACTGGCTCTCATGAGGACCACCACAGGAATGGAAGACCCAGCGTTACCTCTGCTGCAGAGGATAAGTTCATTAGAGTTACCAGCCTCAGAAATTGCTGCCCAAATAAATGCTTCACAGAGTTCAAGTCACAGACACATCTCAACATCAACTGTTCAGAGGGGACTGTGTGAATCAGGCCTTCATGGTCGAATTGCTGCAAAGAAACCACTACTAAAGGACACCAATATGAAGAAGAGACCTGCTTGGGCCAAGAAACACGAACATTGGACATTAGACCGGTGGAAATTTGTCCTTTGGTCTGGAGTCCAAATTGGAGATTTTTGTTTCCAACCGCTGTGTCTTTGTGAGACGCGGTGTGGGTAAACGGATGATCTCCGCATGTGTAGTTCCCACTGTAAAGCATGGAAGAGGAGGTGTTATGGTGTGGGGGTGCTTTGCTGGTGACACGGTCTGTGATTTATTTAGAATTCAAGGCACCCTTAACGAGCAGGGCTACCACAGCATTCTGCAGCGATACGCCATCCCATCTGGTTTGGGTTTAGTGGGAATATAATTTGTTTTTCAACAGGTCAATGACCCAACACACCTCCAGGCTGTGTAAGGGCTATTTTACCAAGAAGGAGAGTGATGGAGTGCTGCATCTGATGACCTGGCCTACACAATCCCCCGACCTCAACCCAATTGAGATGGTTTGGGATGAGTCGGACGGCAGAGTGAAGGAAAAGCAGCCAACATGTGCTCAGCATATGTGGGAACTCCTTCAAGACTGTTGGAAAAGCATTCCAGGTGAAGCTGGTTGAGAGAATGCCAAGAGTGTGCAAAGCTGTCATCAAGGCAAAGGGTGGCTATTTGAAGAATTGTTTAACACTTTTTTGGTTACTACATGATACCATATGTGTTATTTCATAGTTTTGATGTCTTAACTATTATTCTACAATGTAGAAAATAGTAAAAATAAAGAAAAACCCTTGAATGAGTAGGTGTGTCCAAACCTTTGACTGGTACTGTATATACAAAAGTATGTGGACACCCCTTCAAATTAGTGGATTCGGCTATTTCAACCACACCCGTTGCTGACAGGTTTATAAAATGCAATATCCATAGAAAATATTGGCAGTTTCTGACCTGCTAGAGCTTCCCCGGTCAACTGTAAGTGCTGTTATTGTGAAGTGGAAACATCTAGGAGCAACAACGGCTCAGCCGTGTAGTGGTAGGCCACACAAGCTCACAGAACGGGACTGCCGAGTGCTGAAGCACGTGGTGCGTCAAAATCGTCTATCCTCCATGGCCGAGTAGCCGCACACAAGTCTAAGATCACCATGCGCAATGCCAAGCTTCGGCTGGAGTGGTGTAAAGCTCGCCGCCATTGGACTCTGGAGCAGGGGAAACGCGTTTTCTGGAGTGATGAATCACGCTTCACCATCTGTCAGTCTGACGGACTAATCTGGGTTTGGCGGATGCCAGGAGAACGCTACTTGCCCCAATGCATAGTCCCTGCAGAAATGTTCCAACATCTAGTGGAAAGCCTTCCCAGAAGAATGGAGGCTGTTATAGCAGCAAAGGGGGTCCAACTCCATATTAATGGCCATGATTTTGGAATGAGATGTTCGACGAGCAGGTGTACACATACTTTTGGTCATGTAGTGTACGTACGAACGTACGGGACAGATCCATAGTCCCCCCCCCCCCCCCCCCTTCCCCCCCCCCCCCATTATATATATATACATAATTTTTTAAAAGACTACAGCATTACCAACATTATTAATTCTCAACTGTATCTGTATGTAATTACAGTGCCTATAGATAGTCTACATACGCTCAAAAAATGTTCACCTTTTGGGAATGGATGGAGCTTATAGAGCCTTATGGAAAATGTGTTTCTCATGAGGAGATTCATATATGTACAAAATGTCATGAATGTAGCTCAAACGGGATAAGGCGATATGCTTGTTCAAATTCTAAATTGGGGAAAATTTAATGGGCCGAGCTTATAGGTTATGAGGAGATGCATATACACTGAGTGTACAAAACATTAGGAATACCTTCCTAATATTGAGTTGCACCCCCTTTTGCCCTTAGAACAGCCTCAATTCATTGCGTCATTCACCCAAGTTTCGTCAAAATCGGGTCAGTGGTGTCTGAGATATAGTGTGTGACTAACGTACGTATTAATGTACGTACGTACGAACGGGCGGTGGAGACAGATCCATAGTCCCCCCCCCCCCCAATTTCATTGTGGGGGACAATAATTATCAACCAAGCAATTGGTCATATGTTTCATCCACAATAGACAGTAGTGTCCGGAGTTGAACCCTGCGCAGTATATACACTCTTACAAAAAAGGCTTCCAAAAGGGATCTTCAGCTGTCCCCATAGGAGAACCCTTTTTGGTTCCAGATATAATCCTTTTTGGTTACAGGCAGAACCCTTTTGGGTTCCATGTAGAACACTCAGTGGAAAGGGTTCTACATGGAATCGAAAAGGGTTCTACCTGGAACCAAAAATAGTTATTCAAAGGGTTCTCCTATAGGGAAAGCTGAAGAACCCTTTTAGGTTGTAGATCGCACCTTTTTTTTCTAAGAGTGTAGTACTGTTACTACAGATCTATTCTTTGCTATTCTAATGTCTGACTAGAGCTTGTGATAGTGAGGTGCCAGGCGAGCTGGCGTAGAGCACAGAGGGGCAGGGCCTGCATGCAGAGGGGGAGGGGGCTCCTGTCTGTTCACTGAGGGTCCAAACAGGACAGGGCCTGCATGCAGAGGGGGAGGGGGCTCCTGTCTGTTCACTGAGGGTCCAAACAGGACAGGGCCTGCATGCAGAGGGGGAGGGGGCTCCTGTCTGTTCACTGAGGGTCCAAACAGGACAGGGCAGGGGTAACACACACCCGGCAGGACAGAAATGACCTGGGTGGGAAAAGGAGAGAAGCGGAAAATGCCTGCTGTGAATAAGTGCATTCACTTACAGTACACTAGTGAATCTATGAAGTAATTAATTATATTCAAATTCATTACTTCCCATTAAGATGTAATTTCTACATTTAATTTGAGAAGTAATAGTTATATTACATTCTATAATATTATTTGTATAATCACCAGCAGGGCAGAGAGAGGGCTCTTGGGTGGCAGAGGAGGGACACATGGTGCCATTAGGGCAGATGAGGCAGTGGGCGGCGCCAGGGGCAGGACTGTAGATGCCAGGCTCACAGGGTACCTCTGAAGCTGTGCCAACAGGACAGCGATGCCCTGTGGGGCACAGGTAACCATGGAGACCATCAGAGGGGTGGGCACTGGAGCTACCCCCTAGACACACATACCTAGATAAGGAGAGAAAGAGTCAACCACACACTGTAGTGTAGATATATACAATAGATGGACAGGAAATGCTTAGCTCAATCTGTATCTCTCGATTGGCTGATTTGGGTCTGTTTTGTTCATTTCTCTCACAGCAATGAGCACAACGATTAGAAAGTCAGTGAGCATAACAACTGCATTTTCTGAGTCGTTTCCTTCCCACTGTTTCCAGGCAAGATTAACGACATAAATTGTATCAGTTTTAGTTGCATTTTGGTCAGGCATTAGCCGAGGGCTCCTCATTAGGAGACGAGCAGCATGTGTTTATATTACCCAGCGCTACACGGGGCGGCGTCCAAGGTCAGCACCAGCTCAGGCCTGTCACAGAAGTGCCAAGGGGGGCAACGCTGGCACTCCTCTACGCCCCTCAGTCCCGGGGAGCTGGAGAGAGAGCCCGATGGGCACAGAAGAGGGTAGCCAGTGCCAGCTGGACAGTAGTGGATTATTACTGGTAGAATTCCACTGGAAAACAACACAATGAAGAAACATGCATTCCTTGTATACTGTTTGATTTTGATCAACTCCCCATCACATTGTGGGGAGTTGTGATGTTTTATGATAAAGGTGTGGTAAAATGTCCCTTGTAGGGTACTTGTGTTTGACATGCACAGAAAGAGCAAACATATCAAAAGATGACCACAGCTGTTTGTGCCTCTTCATTCAATGTTACCACAATGGCACCTAGTATTCAGTAGCATTGGTTGTGATGGCACCAGGAGTACAGTGGTATCCTGCCTGGCAAGGACCCGTTTTCTGGGAGAGCCCAGGGAGGGCACAGAACATCCCTGTGGACATACGAGAGTACATCTCAAATGACGTCCTATACCCCCATATAGTGCACTACGTTGGCTCTGGTCAAAAGAAGTGCACTAGATACGGAAATGATGTCATTAGAAACTAAAAAAATATGTTTTACCAGAATGTTGAAACCCTAGTCGGTGGTAATGCATACAGTATATCTGTGTATATCTGAGAGCTACCCTCCTGTAGGTTTTCGCTCCAACCCTAATCTAGCGCACCTGAATCTAATAATTAGCTGGTTGATTAGCTAAAGTAGGTTGGTTACAACTGGGGTTGGAGCGAAAACCTACAGGAGGGTAGCTCTCCATGAACAGGGTTGGAGAGCACTGGCCTACACACATTCATATATGGCTAATGCTTATGTTATTATTATTTTATTGTGTTACTTTTTTTTACTTTAGTTTATTTAGTATTTTCATAACTCAATTTTCTTAAAACTGCATTGTTGGTTAAGAGCTTGTAAGTAAGCATTTCATGGTAAGGTCTACACCTCTTGTATTCGGCGCATGTGACAAATAACATTTGATTTGATTTGCTAGCAGTCCCCCAGCCCCTGCTCCAGCCACTTCTAGACCTGGATGTGTTTCTGTTAGTGTTTGGAAGAAGATTGTGGTCCTGGAGATTGGTTTGGGGCAGGGATGGGCAACTTGAACTCATCATGAGCGGCCGCAGTTGCTCGCGGGTCTGCGTACTCACATGTGCGTGTGTGTGATTATCTATGATGTGATGGGTCTATCCGGTTCTGTTATCGAGACATCAATAAAAAATGTATTGAAAGAAAAGGGGGAGAAAATCATAAGATGTAGTTTCTTCAAGACAGTAGAAGCCAGAAAGACACATCTCACATCGGTGCTGACCCCCATGAGGCTGGTAGCTTCCCGGGGCACAGGCTAGCTCTTACACTACCCTGAAAGACCAGCAGCACACACATTTCCTTTGTAATATGACTTATAATACATAGTATGATATTATTATGATATAAGTTGCAACTGTTTTCTGTGGAATAAGATTTTCAAAGAAGCAATGTATTGGACATGCATTCTAAGTGGTATGCCAGTACAGTACGGATATTGTAAATTAGCCCTGAGGACATTGGCACTAACCTCCTCTCAGAAATAACCAACTCCACACACATGTTGCGATGGTCTATCAGTGCTCTGTCCCCCTGGACAGTAGTAGCCAGGAGCACACTGACCGCTAGGCTCGGCCGAGCCTGTCTGATCGCAGTAAGGCTGGCAGTCGTCCACTGTGGACCCGCCTGATCGACCTAACAACACACAGTGGCACCGATCAGTCAGTCAGCATCAGAAAATCAGATCACAGACAGAAATGAGGTTGCTACAACCTAGCCTATGAATGAAAGATTACAACGTAGGTGCACACAGGTCAAGAGAAAATGTTGAGGTGACAGACAGTGACACATTCAATACCGCCTTGCACACTCTTGCCTGCATCTAGCTGATCTAGGGTGTAATCATTAGTCTATTTCTATTTATCCCCATTTTGTTCTGTTTGCTTCCGTTTAAGAAACGTTTTTCAACAGAATCACCGGAATGAATACACCCCTGGTCAAGCGTAAACACAGTTCACATTCATAGCAGCCACGTTGTATTCCTATGCGCTCTCCTCCTCTCACCTTTTACCTTTGTTTGTGGACTTCAATGCACAACACATCAGCTGTATGTGACCAGGCGAAAAAACCTTTCCAAGCCAAACCATATTATAACTGCTACACACAGCCTACATCATTGTCACCCTATTAGCTAAAGTAACGTCATAGTCAACAAAGCTAATAGAACTACTAGTAACACGTTAGTAAACCCGTTACAGACATGCAGTAACTTTACAGTGTATAGTTAGTTAGCAGTTTAGCAGTTACACCGGCGGTGGCAATAAATTAGTCAAACCAAAAGCTTACCTTTGACTTGGAAGAGTTTGAGTGTTGTGTTGGATAGTCATAGCCAGCTAGCTAACTTAGCATCCCTCTGTTTGAGCAGGGTGTTTGAGTAGGCTAAACTGGCTAGCTGCATTTGCTAGCTATGTAAGTGAAACTGAAAGTGGAAAAAAATGACGAAATCTCTCTCTGTCTTTCTCTTGTTTCTCCTTCATTTTGGAAGAAATTAATTTGTTCAAAACTGATCAACTATTGTCTTTCTCTCTCTTTGAATCACCTACTCACCACATTTTATGCACTGCAGGGCTAGCTAGCTGTAGCTTATACTTTCAGTACTAGATTAATTATCTGATCCTTTTAGTACAGTACTTCCTGATTGAGTTTGCAGCTGATTTCTAAAAGGGGTGGGCTAACCTCTAATCTTTCACAGAATCATGACCTATAGGATCCTTGCATGATATTAAAAGATCTCTAAGTATCCTGTAATGATCATCATAGTCAATATTTGAACTAGGGATTCATTAACAGTAAAGCAACAGTGTTGTTGTAGCCTGGTCCCAGATCTGTTTGTGCTATATGCAACTCCTAAGGTCGTTGTTGGCTATACAGCACAAACAGATCTCGGACCAGGTTAGTGTTTTTGTTTCTTACCCTTCAGGGTTCCAGGGGGGCAGGGTAGAGGGAGAGGTGTGCCCTGGGGGCAGTAGTGTCCAGGGGGGCAGAGTGAGGCGTGAGGGGCCTTGGAACCCCTGGAGCATACGTAGCCTGGGGTACAGAGGCCACTGGGGGCTTCCAGACCAGTCTGACCACAGTAGGAACCAGTGTCACAGGGCTGAGGGTAGGCCGATCCTACAGGACAGTAGAAACCTATAGGACAGATGCACATATTGTGGTTGATGCTATACATTTGTAGTGGATGAGGTGAGTTTCATCCAGTCCATTGTTAGTATGCTCTACGATAAAACACACTTTAATCCAACATGGTTATTAAACAGCAAGCCTGTTTTTATGTTGCACAGTTTTTAAGGCTATTGGCATAAACAGAAGCAACCACTAGAGTGTAAGAGTTCACATAGCAGGCAATGCATACCTTTGGGACATATATCGCCTTTGAAGTTCATAAAGTGGGCTCCTGAGATGAGGTGCAGAGTCGGCCAAGACCTGACCATGGCCTAGTTACGACATCAGAAATAACAGAAATAACATTTTCTGAGCGTTATAGAACATTGAATATGATAGGATTTTAATTGCCCCATTCCCAAACACAGATTAAATTGTGACCAACCTCTCTGTCATAGTAGCCAGGGGGAGAATGTTTTTAAATGAACTACGTTTTCATATTCCACAGCACCAGTAAACAGCTAGCAGGGTGGCAGCCAGTGGCGTATGTAAGGACATCAGGGTCACGTTCAGTAGGCATGAAAGGAAAGAAAACGGTCCGAAATGGGGAGGTTCGATCTGAATTTGTACAATAAGAAACACTTGATAGCAGGGTATGTGAGGACTTCAGCATCAGTGGCGGCCAGTAGCATTTTTTTTTTTCATGAGCATGGCCTTATTTCTATTACAGCATATTTGATGACTGTGATTCATATTCCATTCACCCAGTTCAATGTAACATCGATAGGTTTAGGCTACTACATGATACTCAAATTATCCCTATACCCATCATGAGGTTGCTACAACCTAGCCTATGAATGAAAGATTACAACGTAGGTGCACACAGATCAAGAGAAAATGTTGAGGTGACAGACAGTGACACATTCAATACCGCCTTGCACACTCTTGCCTGCATCTAGCTGATCTAGGGTGTAATCATTAGTCTATTTCTATTGGACAAATTCAGGTATGTTTATCCCCGTTTTGTTCTGTTTGCTTCCGTTTAAGAAACGTTTTTCAACAGAATCACCGGAATGAATACACCCCTGGTCAAGCGTAAACACAGTTCACATTCATAGCAACCACGTTGTATTCCTATGCGCTCTCCTCCTCTCACTATTTACCTTCGTTTGTGGACTTCAATGCACAACACATCAGCTGTATGTGACCAGGCGAAAAAACCTTTCCAAGCCAAACCATATTATAACTGCTACACACAGCCTACATCGTTGTCACCCTATTAGCTAAAGTAACATCATAGTCAACAAAGCTAATAGAACTACTAGTAACACGTTAGTAAACCCGTTACAGACATGCAGTAACTTTACAGTGTATAGTTAGTTAGCAGTTTAGCAGTTACACCGGCGGTGGCAATAAATTAGTCAAACCAAAAGCTTACCTTGACTTGGAAGAGTTTGAGTGTTGTGTTGGATAGTCATAGCCAGCTAGCTAACATAGCATCCCTCTGTTTGAGCAGGGTGTTTGAGTAGGCTAAACTGGCTAGCTGCATTTGCTAGCTATGTAAGTGAAACTGAAAGTGGAAAAAAAATGACGAAATCTCTCTCTGTCTTTCTCTTGCTTCTCCTTCATTTTGGAAGAAATTAATTTGTTCAAAACTGTTCAACTATTGTCTTTCTCTCTCTTTGAATCAACTACTCACCACATTTTATGCACTGCAGGGCTAGCTAGCTGTAGCTTATACTTTCAGTACTAGATTAATTATCTGATCCTTTGATTGGGTGGACAACATGTCAGTTCATGCTGCAAGAGTTCTGATAGGTAGGAGGACGTCCTCCGGAAGTTGTCATAATTACTGTGCTAGTCTATGGAAGGGGGTGAGAACCATGAGCCTCCTAGGTTTTGTATTGGAGTCAATGTATCCAGAGGAGGACGGAAGCTAGCTGTCCTCCGGCTACACCATGGTGCTACCCTACAGAGTGCTGTTGAGGCTACTGTAGACCTTTATTGCAAAACAGTGTGTTTTAATAAATTATTTGGTGACGTGAATTTATTTAGTATAGTTTAATCTAAAAATTATAACGAAAAGAAAAAACAACATGTTTTACAATTCAAATTTTTATGAAATTCACTGAGGAGGATGGTCCTCCCCTTCCTCCTCTGAGGAACCGCCACTGATCAGCATCAACAACAACAACAACGTCACTCTTCAACACTGATGAGGATTAGTACAGTACTTCCTGATTGAGTTTGCAACTGATTTCTAAAAGGGGTGGCCTAACCTCTAATCTTTCACAGAATCATGACCTATAGGATCCTTGCAGGATATTCAAAGATCTCTAAGTATCCTGTAATGATCATCATAGTCAATATTTGAACTAGGGATTCATTAACAGTAAAGCAACAGTGTTGTTGTAGCCTGGTCCCAGATCTGTTTGTGCTATATGCAACTCCTAAGGTCGTTGTTGGCTATACAGCACAAACAGATCTCGGACCAGGCTAGTGTTTTTGTTTCTTACCCTTCAGGGTTCCAGGGGGGCAGGGTAGAGGGAGAGGTGTGCCCTGGGGGCAGTAGTGTCCAGGGGGGCAGAGTGAGGCGTGAGGGGCCTTGGAACCCCTGGAGCATACGTAGCCTGGGGTACAGAGGCCACTGGGGGCTTCCAGACCAGTCTGACCACAGTAGGAACCAGTGTCACAGGGCTGAGGGTAGGCCGATCCTACAGGATAGTAGAAACCTATAGGACAGATGCACATATTGTGGTTGATGCTATACATTTGTAGTGGATGAGGTGAGTTTCATCCAGTCCATTGTTAGTATGCTCTACGATAAAACACACACATCCAACATGGTTATTAAACAGCAAGCCTGTTTTTATGTTGCACAGTTTTTAAGGCTATTGGCATAAACAGAAGCAACCACTAGAGTGTAAGAGTTCACATAGCAGGCAATGCATACCTTTGGGACATATATCGCCTTTGAAGTTCATAAAGTGGGCTCCTGAGATGAGGTGCAGAGTCGGCCAAGGCCTGACCTGACCATGGCCTAGTTACGACATCCATCCAGTTCCCATCTCCATCTAAAAATGAACATGACACAATAAAAATATGTTTAGGCTATAACCTCCAACTGTCACTCAATTATATTCACCTGCAAGCTCTAAAGAGTCCATCATCTCAAAAGAACCCAGAACCAAATCTGGCGTGCGTGCTGGCCAGCTATTTGACAGTCTATAACTGGAGACTATAGAGTCCATGACATTGGTTTACCTGTCGGAAGTGGATAGTTAACCAGCAGCGGAAAGTATTTAGGCATAGCGGTATATAATTAAGGTATATGGTTAACATTAGGTTTGGGAATGAGGGTTAGGTTAAATAGTTTGTAGCTGAAAATGTTCAAACCTTACAGACGTTTTTCGTGAGAGAAACTGCTTGGAAGATCCTCACTCATCCACAAAAAACACTCTACCGCCGCTCCCAGCCATTGCACTGGAAGTCCCTATCTAAAACACACTTTTATTGATAAAAAAGTATTACAGTAAGGTACTTAATTGTTACCCAGAAATGATTTGATATTGACGTCTGCATTGGGCCTTTAACATTGGGTTAGCATACTGCCGTCCGCCACCATTTATTTTATGCCAGTCAAATATACACTGTCTTACCTGTATCTATACTGTTAGGTGAGCAGGAAGGGTTGATCTTGGTTAGTAGGATGGACCTCTATCATGCCACACAGGCAGCTGAGCTGGGAGGAGTTAGCTTGGGGTGTAGCACTGTCTGCACTCCCACTACAGCAGACACCAGGGGAGCAAGGACCTATAGAGGAGTGTGGCATTAATGTGAACAAAAAAAGAGTACAAACTTTATATAAAACATGAAATTATAAATGTGCAAATGGACCTAATTGTATGATATGTAGCCCCAGGTTTTTCTTCCTGGTCACATGACCACATGATATGACCATGAAAAAGTCAGGACCCTGGTTTGACGGAAACCAAACGGAAGCAAACAGAACACATCCGGGAGGGACCTAGCTAAATTTGTCCAATAGGAACTCTCGTTTGCATTTTCCATTTGGAGTAAGCCGTTTCTGTTGTAAAACGTTTTACAACATACAAAACGTTTTGCAACAGAATCGGCGTAATGATTACACCTCTGGTGACCTGACCAGGAAAAACTCCAGGCACTAGTTTACATTTAGTCATTAGTTGATATGAGACTGTTGAGTGTTTTCCTACACCTGTGGGTTGTGAGGAGCCTGGGTTGAGGCAGTATCTTACTGAGGACACGGTTAGCAGCGGGAGAGGGTAAAGCACCCCTCTCTGGAAGGTAGCTACCCACAGGGCCTGGGCAACCCACTACCCTCTGGGCAGTAGTGTCCTGGAGGACAGACATCCCCAAAGGTCTGGGAGACTGGGGCAGGAATAGTAGCTCCATGGGAACAGAAGTGGCCTTTTAGACCCACGGGAGGAACGACAATGAACAGCTTCTCAATAAAAACAGAAACCAAGATTGCCATCACCTAAGGCATTGGTCCATGACGGTGGAATTGCAGTGGGGCCCCAAAATAAATAAATAAACGTTTTTGAGAAGGATCATTTGAAAAATAACCTTTCATTAAGTAAATGTGTTTATTGGTTTCTTTTGATTTTGATAAGAGTATCAAATTAAATGAATTGAAAGTTATTTGTCGATGTAACATTCAAAAGGCACTTGCACATCTGTGCTATCTTTGTTGCAGGTGCATGGCAACAGTTGAATAAGATGAGAACAAATAAGAAACCCGCACACTGCTCTTGCTAGTATCACTGCTCTTTATTAAGCTGTACGTTTCAGCCTCAAGGCCTTCGTCAGAGCTTTCGTGAATGTTTATAATTTTCACCCTTATGTAGACATTGTTCTACCCACATCCGTTCTATCCATCGAATGGGGTTGGAGTCGAGCGAAAATAAGCAAGTGTTACAAAATATAACAATGTGCATTTCATAAGTATTCTAATAAATTGTGTACATAAAACGCATTAAACAAGTCTGTAAAACCACAATGAGGACATCGACCTATCAAGTACGTTTTCATAAATCATTGGGTACGGTGCAAGAAAAAACGTCAGAGTAATCTGAAGTGGTGGCATTAATTCATGTTCACATTTACAACATAACATGCATGGGCATTTCATCATTAAGACCTTTTGGGAATAATGTCTGGAGGGTGAAAATCCAAAAACATTATATTTTGCTCAGAGTTATATTTATATCACCTCCCCTGTCTGATATCTTGACTTTCTCTATGCCACAAAATCTAAAAGGTAGAAATGTCATCGTTTCTCCTGATTTAATTTTTATGTTCACTAATTCTCTGTTTGAGAGAACGAGAGGTTTTTCCTACATAACACAGCCCACATGGACATTTATCATGTCGATAACATGGGTGGTGGAGCACGGAATAATGTCATTTATTTGGAACCGTTTTCCTGTATGTGGGTGTCAGAAATATTCACACTTGCACTGTGCGCAACTTCTGCATTTAAAGCTACCATTCCGAAGAGGGCGTAAAAGAGCCTGGCTCATTTTCTTTTGTGACTGGCAGTTGGCATGGACCAATTTGTCGCGTAAATAGCGACCTCTACTATTTACAATAAGTGGTGGGATCTTAAATTCAGTTGGCAAAGCTTGGTCCGATGATAAAACATGCCAGTGTTTATTGCAGCATCTCCCACTTTGCGCGAGTTCAAAGTATATGTGGTGGTGAACATTACAGTGTTCTTTAGCTCTAGCAGTGGCGGCTCCTGAAAAAATTCTCAGGGGGGGCAATTTTTCTGATGATTTAGGTGACCTACACACATTTTAAAAAAGATATGTCCAGCAACAACATGAAGACAGGGGCAGCATATAAGTCAATACCAGAAGCATTTATTGACTGATCTCAAAAGTGTTGGTTTACCAGGGTTGGTGGAGCCCTCAGTTTCATCTTTGCCTCGCAAAGCTAACTCAAACACTCCGCAAAACTTCACACACTGGATTAGCCGGCTGAGGATGTGGCGGTTCTTGCTAATGTCGTAGTAAATATATTTGTTATAGTGAATATGGAATATGATATGTTGAGTAAAATGTTGTGCTAAGATCTATTTAGGTCAGGAGCTGGTTGTAAGTTCTGTTCCTATCCAATAACAATGGACAAAAGGGTCCTATCTTGTCAGCCTTGTCAGTTTCAGTTCTCCAGTAAACTTGTGATTATCAACACTAACCTCATCGTTGTGGCGGCGGACAGCTAGCCTGTATCCCTCATCCAGTTGAGTGGGAATGTTCACTCTCCCCAAAGCAGACAATCTCAAACAGCTATCCATGTGGGTCTTTGACAGCTCATGTTTCTTAATCTTTCCTGAAAGATGGTGCATGTCCGTTACACACCAGTCGCTGTCCAAGCGGTGCTGTCTGCCGTGCCGCCTTCAGGGTGAAAGAGTAAGCAGGGGGTAGCAGAAGACTGCATTAGCTACATCGCAGCCTGCTAGCCAGGTTTTTCGTTCGTACCAATTTTTGGAAAATCCTCGGGTGTAGGACTTCCCCCCTTTAGTAGAAACCTGTTGAATTATTAAATTTGGTCTGGGAGGTCCTAATTGTTTCGTTGCCAATTTATCTTCATTTGTTCGCCGACAAAAAGGAACTTCTTTCAAAGACACAATCGAGTTGCACTGAAGCCTAGCCATTTTGATAGAAGTAGTGAATTGATTGACGCTGCTACCCGCTCTTTTCTTAGTTACGTTCATGGTTATATGTTACGTATGACGAAAGCGCGTAAGTGCAAGCCCTCAGAAACCCATAGAGATTGTATTGAAAGCTCTGATATTTGAAAAAAATAGATTTTACATGGGAGTCTATGACAGACTTCTGGGCGATTTTCAACCTGACTGAAATCGCCAAAAGGGGGGGGGGCATTTGAAGCACGACTTTAGCCTGATTGGACATTTAGTGGCACTGTGGCAGATCAGACGTCTAGATTACAACACTGATAACTACTGTTGCCGTGATATAATTGATTAGAAAAAAAATCCCTTCCTTTTCCCGTTTGGCAGTGCGTCGCCCATATCGCCCTATTGAACACACCGCCCCTGAGCTCTAGTAGGTATTTTTTTGTAGCAGTTCATCTTGTGTTTTCCCTAATACCAAATTAAGAGCTTCATCCACACATTGTGGAGAGTAGCCTCTTCTTAGAAACCTATTGCGCATCTCCGCTGCTTTTTCTAGATAGTCCTCTGTGGAGTCACATAACGCGCAGTCTGAAAAGGTCGCTTCTTGGAAGTCCTCTTTTTAATGGCTCAGGGTGGAAGCTGTCCCCCTGTAATAAGAGTATTTATGTCCGTTTCTTTTCTGTACAGAGTTGTAAACAGGGTTCCATTTGATTTCTCAATCCACATATCGAGGTAATGATCACGTTTAGTGTCACATTTAACAGTGAATTTGAGATTGGGTCAATGTCATTGAGTAATGCCATAAAGTCTGACAGCTCTTATCACGTTCTTCTCCATATGCAAAAAAGGTAGTCAATATATCAATACCACTTCAGGATTTTATTCAAAAATGGATTTTAATTTTCATTGTTAACAAAACGTTCTTCAAAATGACCAACATAATAAAGGTTAGCATAGCTTGGAGCAAATGTGGAGCCCATCAATGTTACATTTGTTTGGAGGTAGTATTCATCATCAAACGTGAAATAGTTATATGTGAAAACATATACAGCCAACTCTAGAATAAAGTTTGTTGGTGGGTATTTGTTAGTATCTCGGTCTCTCAAATAGCATCTCGGTCACCCCCCATTTGATATGAAAGTAGAACTGTTTAAAATCTTTCGCAATATTAAACTTTAACACATGTTTCTGGCCTAAAAATTCAACAAAGAACTGTTACCCATTTTAAGCCCAAAAGCAAATTCTGTCCTGGTGAGGTTCTTCTGAATATGGTTTGTTTTTCTCATATATACAGACATGACTTCTTGTTCGACTAACCTACAATTGGTATTAATCGAGAAGTTGTTAACCATAGGACAGAATTTGCTTTTGGGCTTAAAATGTGTAACAGTTCTTTGTTGAATTTCTAGGCCACAAACTGTGTTTTGGGAAAACACGTGTTTAAGTTTAATCTTGCGAAAGAATTTAAACAGTTCTACTTTCGTATCA